ATGTTTTATAGGCAAAGAGTCCATTGAAATTTTGAACTGTATACCTTCAAGAAGTACTCTTGAACCATCTATCAAGAGAGATACTGCAGAGAAAGAGCCACACCTATTAGTAAAACACCAATTCCAACAACATGCAGCGTATTTGCTATATAGATGGCTTTAAACAACTGAGAAAAATACCAAATTTTCATGAATTTCTCACAGATTTGCAAGGTGCATATCTCAGAAACCAAGAAAAACCTTTTGCTGGTTCTTTGTAAATTTAAAGTCTGTCCTGTGTACTTCTTGGATGCACAATTTGAAATTTGTCACATTCTTCCAACATGGTGAATTTTTTCATAGTTTGATGGATGGTAAAAGCGATTTGTGAGTATAAGAAATTATATTCTAGTATAATTTACTCTGTTTTCTAATGGATTTAGTGAATTTTTAATGCAATTTTTGAATTCCTTGCCCCTAATTTATCCAAAAGTGATATTTTTTATTGGTGATTTCCATCTGCTTTATCAAAATTTATCAAAGTTTACTTTCCCCGCACATTTAAAATGGCGGATATGTGGATAATATTATGCTGAATCAGCAAAAATTAAAATAACTATAATATCTGAATGAGTTAAGATATCAACTTGAAATTTTCAGGTTATTTTCCTCTCAAGATACTTAGCATTTGACAGGAGTATCAGAAAAATCTGAGAGGGTGCATTACAAATCTAATTTTTTTGTCCCACTTTGGCATGGAATGACCCACCTGTCAAGTGACAAGAAACACTTTCCCTGCCCTAGAGCCTGAAGGATATGATAACCCCCATCTCTCTCCAGAATGATAGGGTGTCATGAAGAACTATAGGGTGCTGCTTTCAAGGGGACTTCTGTGTTACAAACTGAACAAAAACCAAGGAAATTTTGGGAGAAACTATTCTTGTTCTTTATTAAAGATGTTGAATTTGATTAATTAATAAATTCTCTAGGAAGTAATTATTGAATCCTTTTATAATCATTTAAAGATATCTGGGTTGAAAAAAATTCAAATTGCTTGTAGAAATTGCCATGCATTATCTAGAAATTACCATGCAGCATCACTGAGTTTGGTGTCATCGTTAATGTAGTGGATATCATAGCGGATATTCTTAAAAAGTATCTTACTATTTGATCAATGTTCCTTTCATGATAATATGGAATTCAGTGAACAATTGGATGAGAAAGAATGGGTAGAGAAAAGACACACAGGTCGAAATAAACACACTTTCTTTGAAATCAAAAACAAGTTTTACAGCTCTTAATCTTAAAAAATCGTTCAATAGCAGCTTAAAATAATTAAAAAACAGTACAGTCGTGGTCTTTTCTTCCTCGGAGCTTTGTGACTCCGTTTTTAAGTCCTGTCAAGTTGTTAAATCCCAAAAAGGACAGAAATGCCTTTGAAATTGGCGACTTTGATTTACTGCTGCTTTGAAAATCTTCATAACATAAGGAATTTGTAAGAAATTAAATGGCAAATTCTTTGTTTTGCGCATGCGATGATTTGCACGCCTTGGACAATTTAGGCATGTGTGGAGGCACACCTCATATTACAAAGATTGCCCTGAACCTGAATGCATGCCTTTCACAGGGTGCTTGCCAATTCATATTCCTAAAATGTCCAGTAGCATTGTAGCCTTACAAACAAGGATACACACATCACCATAACAAGCCAAGTTACTCATTTGCTCAAAATAAGCAAAGCTCACTTAAGTGAATTCAGCTGAATCATTGTTTTTTCATTCACTGTTTTTGAGATTGTTTTCAAATTCATCAGATGTTGAAACTTTGGTTAGGCCATTGACTTTATGAAAATATCAGTGTACTTTCCTTCAAGTATTTTCATTCAAGCATAGCTTGCAAAATTTTGTAAATTTCCAAGAGCTGTTTTGAAATTTAACACCTGAGGAGAAATTTTTGGGAAGAAACTAGACGAAAATGTGGGACAAAAAACTGAATCTTACATATCTTTAGAAAAGTTACTTTTCGCCTAAATGACCCACAAGTGACATGATCTTAAAGGCACCTGCTATTAAATTTTTTATAAACATAAAGTTTGTCATGGAATTATTTGTACTGTTTCTAGCAACTCAGTAACCTTTCTGTTTTATTGTCAATTGCTCAAAACCAAATATTAACTATGGTTGACATTATTTTTGTTCAGGATAGACAAATTGATGTTTCTCAGAAGAACACTGATTATTGTTTCTGGGAGAAATTAAGTAGGGAAAGAGTCATGCTTAAACTATAGTGACAGATGTTGGGGAAAGAAAGAGAAGGTGCTTTTTATTCAAGAGCAGGGGATTTTGGTTTTGTGTGTTTTGATTATTCAACCTTCAGATGTGATTTCTGCAATATAGTATATAGTTGTGTTTACTTTTTCCTCAGAGGATGAGCTGTTTACAGACACCTTCAAGTACAAACTTGTAGATGATATTTATTATCATATTGAAGGAAAGGTATTATATTATTTATATATATTTATTTATATTTTCTTGAAAGATGAAATATGTATAGTGGTTTTTCTATTGCCTGCTGTATATGAAAGCAAAAAAAAACCCCTAGATATTAGGTTTTATTAAATTTATTTTTTGAGATTAGGTAAGGTATGAGGTTAATAGAGCTGTAATAGTTTGCTTGGTATGCTTGCTTATCAGATTTCAGATTCATATATTTCAAATCTTTCTGAGATCAGGTTTTTCCTGGATCTGTAAAACAATTGTGATTCCAATCTACTTGTGAAATTGTCATATTGACCTCTGACATGAACATTGCACTTTATGAAGATTGTGATCACAATCTCATTTTTTCGCTCTTTGTAAACAGGGTGTAATGTAGGCAGCCACATTTTTGTTTTTGTTTGTATGCAATTGCTTTGCGACTGATTTATTCATTGTATTAGATCAGTTTAATATGTGTACATTGTGAACTAGAAAAGATAAACAATTGATGTATATAAAATTAAGTTGACAGTCAAAGTCAAGGGGGACAAAAGACAGCTGCTTCAGATCAGATGCTTTAAACAACACAGCAACACAGGTTTTTCAGTGGATGACCTCCAGAAGCCTAGCTCATTTATGTTGCTTCTTTTCAGTTTATCCAACAAAGTGAGACTGGCGATTATGACATAGGTGCTAATCCTTCTGCAGAAGAAGCTGACGAAGGAACAGAGGCTAGTGTTACAACTGGTATAGATGTTGCGCTTGCTAATCGTCTTATTGAAATGTCAACTACCAAAGCTCAATACAAAAAGGACATTAAGGTTTATGTCAAGAAGCTGTTGGCAAAAGTAGCAGAAACTGACTCAAAAAGAGCCGACTTCTTGAAGAATAATCTGCCAAAAGTGATTACGGAATGGATTAAAGAATACGACAACATGACTGCATTCAAAGGGGAGAGCATGTCAGTAGATGGGACTTATGTTTTGTGCAAATATCCAGAAGGAGATTGCAATATTGGCTGCAAGATTGATGTCTATGTGCTTAAAGATGGTTTGGTTGAGGAGAAAGTGGTAAGTTTTTTTGTTCTTTTACATGTTTTTCATGCTTTGTGATGTTTAGGAATTGTTTTATTCATTCAAAAAAGCTCAAGAAAATTTAATGCACTGTTTCAAATTTTTAAACATAATATTGGTTTAATTTTCTTATTAAAAATTGGATTTTAAAATATTTTAAACACTTCTTACTTTTTGGAAATAGTGACCAGTTGATTGATCCATTGGTAGGTTGTTGGGTCGATCCACGCTTTAAGTTTATCCAATGTTTTTGTTATTCTTTTCAATTTTACCAATCTTCTTCCAGTAAACTTCAAGATCGTTGGCATCCAAAACTTGCTGTTTGCTTGGAATATTGAAAAATTCAACTACCGGACAGTCAATTTGTTAAATGGTAATCTAATGATTATAATCATGTCTTTTCTTGTCTTTTTCTGCCAAAACCAAAGTTCTACCAATGCTGGTCAGTGTAAGGGACAGATTGCAATATAACTTCAGCCATTAGATTCTCTAGTCATATATCCTATTTATTTTCTGTTGATAATCCAGAAGTGACATTTTTGGAAATGAAGGTACAGTTCTGTTTCACAAAGATTCCATAGTTATTGCATACAGCTTGAAAACATAGAGTTGCCACTTACAAGCATCTTGTTCTACACACCAAAGTGTTTACAGGTCTTTCTGTATGGCATCATGCACCATGCAAACCATTTAAAAGTAATTTTTGAATTTCATGTTTTTATGTTTTATTTATCCAAACTGGGCTGAAACACTGCAACTTGCAGCAAGCTCTTTTGTGTGTGTCCTGTAAAATCTAGACAAAACTGATGTCCCCAAAGTTGCAACTGTATGCACCAATAATATAGCAGTCCTAAAGTGATGAAAATTTTGTCAATTTTTTCCCATTATTTGTTATCGTTCATTATTTAATAGTTAATCAATTAGCTAGCTACACATATTGGAGGCTATTTTCTGCACTGTTATTTTAACACTAGTTTGATTTTCTGCAATCATACAATTTAAGAAACTTTACATTACATAACAAGTAATGAACTTTGTACAACTAAGAGGTACCCTATGGAGGTACACCCTAAGTACCACTCTAACAGGGCTGCCAAAACATGACTGAAAGTAGCGGATACAATTTTAAGATTGTTCATGGGTTTCCCCAAGCCTACTACAATGATTGGAAGCAAGAGAGACTATAAAAGTATAACATTCTAGGAACATTTGATTTTGGCACTCCTTTGAAGAGTTAGATTACTTTCCGTGCCTTTGATTCCTGGTCGCTGGTGGGGCAGTTCCTTTGTGTGACGGCTTAAATATACAGTTACTTGTTTTCGCAGGATTTGCAACTAGTTCATTTGCTTGAATTGTTCAGGGTACTAGTGAATTTTCCAAAGCTGAAAGGCTGGCATCATTAGCAAAAAATCTAGGTTTTAAGTAAGTTGCATTTGGGATGTCATTAACAAAGAAGGTAAAAAGGATGAGACACCCCCAGGGAACATTTTGCCGTTTACTTCTGTATGACTTTTTTTTTAGACGTCATACTATCTCAGGTTCTAAGCTTCTCTCGCGCTTGTCTTCATGGCTCTAGATAACTTGTACACGTCTAATCTAAATGCAGGCTTTGATTGTACTGAACAGGAAAGCTGTTAAACAATGTGTAGAAAAGACAAATTGACGATCAGATTCCCATTCTGCGTCTACCAGATGTGTGTATAAACTTATCTGCATAGCATAGAACAGAATTTTAAACCAGTACTAAGCCAATTGGTAGCAGTCTGGTTCCTCAAAAAAGACCGATATGAGCCATGAAATTGATTTTCATGTGAGAATTTAATTTCTTTTGCTATTAATTGTGACAACCAAGCATGAATTAAACTGAATGACTGCCTTTAACTTGACTGAGTCCATAGTAACCCTAAGAGGTTATTCTCTATTCAGCTATTCTCAAACATAAAACACCTCTTCGTTGTGAGTCAAACTTCAGTTCAGCTGTTGGAAACTGTTTAATATGACGGCAACTGCATCTGAAATACAAAAGAAAATAAATAATAAATATTCTATTTACAGTCAGCAACGAGATCCAGCATCAAGCTAATTTAAACCAACCATTTACAATGATTATGCAAAGTAATTACTATAAAAAGCCTAAATATTTCGCACAATCTACAGCTGCACAAGTTCTATGTTTCGTTTAAAAATATGTAATGATTAGAACTCTAATTTTTGTACGTAGCTTTTGCCATGCGTTTTGTCCAATAAGTCTAATGGTCTCTGTAGTTATTCTTGCACTGGGCAGAATGATGTTGCTGTTTGCTAGAAAATCATTTCCAAGGTTTCTAGTACAAATCATTGTCCATTAATGTTGGATTCAAGTTATTGACATTTTTTTATATCTTAATCAAGAGCAGCCGTAAATTTCTCCGGTGGGGAGAGACTGATTTTGTTTTAGTTAATAATTGATCAAAATTAGAGGCGCTATCTTTGCATGTGATTCGAAGTGCAAGTTCGTGAATCTTGTTTATTTTATTATTAATTTTTCTATCATTGAACATCCATACAAGTGAGGAGTAACTAAAATGAGAGATTATAAACGAGGCCGTCGATTGATAGCTCGTTGAGGTACATCCGTGAATGTTGATATGCGATTTAAAGCATGTAGTTTTGATTGGCTTTTTGCAGAGATTTGCAACATAGGATTGAAAACTTAACCTTTTTTTTTGAAACACTCCAAAAAGTGTCTCTTCGGTGTTCTCTTTTATCACATATCACAGAAACTTTTTCATCTTTTTTCCCAAAAATTAGATGATAACATTTTTTCGCTCATTTTCATCTAATTATTCTCAAACCATTGTGATAACAAACAATGGTTTTTTTTAAAAGATTATCATCCGCATAATCACATAAATCAGTATTTTTTCCCCAGAAAAAAATGTCACAAATTAATAGGGTTCATCTTTCCTTTTGTCAATGAATAATGGCCTTCAAAACCTCCTTTGCGGCAGCCACGTTTCTTAACTCTGCCGACAACCCAACAAGAAACAAAACAACACCAGTCGAGAACTAAAATGGTGCAGCTTAAATCCGTCCCCTTAGATCTTGTCCCCTAGCATACAAATTTGTTTAGGAATACCCCCCCCAAATTTTCCAGGATTCCCCATCACTTAGTTGCCTTATCTTGAAAATTGTATGGAAGTTATTTGAATTATCAATTTTCTACTCGTTAGCTTTTATTGTACTGCAGCCTCGCCCAGTAGGTTCGATGATGCATACTTGCACTCTTGTTCTTGTTTTGCCTTCTAAGACAGATGTCTGTTACATTATTCTCAGCAAAAGAAGTACCTTGGGAGATCAAATGTTGCAAATAGAGGCAGTTGCTTCCTTCTCGATAAAAACCGATTTAGCAACCCTCATTGGCATCTTCCTTCTCCATCATCATTCTCTTTCTTCCCATTATGCCCCAAAACATATCATGTCGTCTTAGAAAACCGCTCATAAGACTCTTCCATCTTTGCTTCTGTCAAGAATAACAACTACTTGATTCTTCTACTGGATTACGCAGGATAGTACTATTTTTCTTCTTATCTTTCATTTTATTTGTAATTAATGCGGTCTCTCACATATTGCAAACTTACGTTTTGAAGCTTAAATTTTCCCTAACATAGCTTTTAACGATCTTTTTTCTGATATTTCAAACACCTTACCATGCAATCTACATAGTCCTTTTGACTTTCACAAATGAGTTGAGTCCACATATACTTAAATCTTTCATACTCTTCGACAGCTGCTCTTCCACATAAAACTGTGGCACCTCGCAGCACAAATAATATCGTTTTGAGGAGCCTTTCAGAATCAAACGCAATGATTCACTCATTCAAACAAAACTCGCATGCTTATCACGATCCTTCTTTTTTTAGCTTATCTATATAGAAGTGCCTCGATCTCGATCTAGAAGTGCCTCTAATCTGATATGCTAATTTATTCAAATTAATTCAATGACATCATAAATAGCACGATCAAGATGTCAACGATTCTTTGCAACTTCTTAACCTGATTCCAGTAGAATAGTGCCAATGTTCCTGCTGATTGACAATTTTCAGCCACCTTGCAATGCAGGTCTTCTTATGCCGATGTCTTTTCTTCTGAAAATTTTCCCCTGTGAAGGAGTCTCCTTTGTGTCTTCGTCGTCTAGGTCAGTCCAACTATTCACGGAGACTTGTGCCAGGCCGACTTGTGCTGTATTAGTTTTCTCAAGAAAGTAATTCAAAGCATACTAGTCAATAAGTACAGCCGTACTTTTCTTGGCTGTTGATTAAACTGATTTTGACATTAGCCTGTGCATGATAAAATTTATAGGTTTGAAACACTTCTAAGCAAAAGCAAATGCATCTTTAAAAAATCAGTGGTGTTGTTAGAGTGCGAATATACCCCACTCATAGTTTCCACGGGTTAACAGAAGTCATGTGCGAGGCAGGCAGTTCTGGTACCAGCTGCTGCAAAGTTGGGTCAGAGGCATGGGCGTACTGCTCAGTGACTTGTTGAGGCCACACTCTTTTATTTAACAAAAGGGCCCCTTTGTGCGTCAGTCCGGTATTGCATCATAAGCATCTTGTATATTTCTGCTAGACCTTTTGATTCTTTTCTTATTCATTGATCTAAAGGAGGGGGAGGGGTGTGACAAAACTACTGCGAACATATAATGTTTTCCTTTAAGTTATGAGAAATATCAACAAAACAAAGACTGGATGAAACACCATATGTTAATATTTTAAGATTAATTCATTTGCAATGATTTGCCAAGGCAGGCTCCCAACCAACAAGTCTTTCCTCTCAGTTCACTTTCATTGATAACTGCGCGTATCTTTAGGTAAATATATTGAAAATTCTGCGAAGTCAATGTGAGCAGTAGACATGCCTCCTGTATAATATTCTTTCCACTGACTTGAAGCAGGTCTTCAAATGTATTGTAACGTCCCTTTAAAGCCGCACAAATGCATTTTCATGTACGAAGAATGAGTACATATAGTTGGATATACCAGTCTGAAAAAACATTATCTGAAAAAAGTTTCTAACATTGTCTATACATTGTCTGAAAAAAGTTTCTAAAAGCATGTGTTTGGAAATTTCCAAATCAAAGGGTGGCACAATCCTGGATCATAAAAAGACGCTCATATGCACCCTTTCTGCTCCGATTTGTTCTTTTGTCGCTAGTTTTTTGCATTTTTTCCTCTTCTCATCTAAACTTTGGAACCGAAATGCTTTCAATTAAAAAAGAACGGAAATATTTTACTATATGTTGCATGCACGTCCAACCTTACAAAAAGTAGTCACTTTTTTGAGAAATCAAACATTCAATTGGAAAAAGTACTGGCTGGGCTACCCTGGGCACCAGACTCACTCTATATAAATAAGAGAGAGTCTGGTTCAGTGCGCCCCTATCCTCGTTCTGTTGTGCCGATATTGACCAATCAGGAGCAAGTGTACAGATTTATGTACGTTCAAAAGTCACAGTGTGACTATAAACGTAGCTCTGGTGTAAAACGTTGAACAGAACACAGCATAAATTACGATTACGATTGAGTTTGAGGATGCTGTTAAAACTGTACTCAAAGTATATTTTCCGCATGTTGTAGAACTTAACACAGAACAGTTAACAGCATTGAAAGCATTTTTTGTAGAGAGATGAGACACCTCCGCCATATTGCCAATTGGCTTTCGAAAGTCTCTCATATTTCAGGCAGTGCTGCTCATTGCAAAGAAACTAGGCCTTCTGGTGAAATGAAATAGGGAACACCGCAAGGCGCCAAGAACAAACGTGCTGATGCTAACCGCCGCTGTGTCCAAGCGCGCTGCCTTTACAATGAGGAAGTAGACTTTGAAAGTACACACAATTTACGAGGGAAATTACAAGAAACTTATTTTAAGTTTCATACGAATTTATTGATTAACGTTTTATAACTGCTTTGTGCTAGCTTTAATTTCATGCTTCGCACATGTTTTTGTTGCCAAATGGCATTTTACACCTGATTTGATTGTAATCTTGAGGCAGAAAAGTCTATTATCACTGTAATAATAATGGTGACTTTACAGAACTTTATAAAATACATTTGCTTTAAGATTTTCCAAAACTCCACGGAGTACCTTTGTCATTTATCCGACAGTCTGGTTTCACAGGCCTAGTTTCCAGCCTGTTAAATTGACTAAAGTTCTTTCAAATATGTCCACCGCAACGAGGCCCGGGTGCACTGAACCAGACATGGCTGCTCAAACCCGATATCTTTATTCTCTCCAACAGAGATTTCCCATTCTTCAGTACCATAGTCTTAAAGAATTGAAAATGAATAGATAAGAAACAAAATAACGAGAAGGAGAGGTCAGGCCAGAATATTTGGTAATAGACGGGTGATTAAAATACTGTTTTCATCCTCTTAACCTTTCAAGCTTCATGTTCTCCCTTTTCTCGTTGCTCTATCGCCCACAGTCGCTCTTCCCGGCCCTTCCTTCCCTTACCTATAAATTTTAAACAGGACTTTCGTCACAATAAACTTCAAAAATACATTAGACCGACAAGGAGAGCGTGTTTTGCTGGAGCGATCTGGATCTGCGCCTGAATCTCCCGTTTAAAATGCAATTGTTGCTGTGATTCAGTAAATGATTCTTGATTTCAATTATTGAACCTATTTAAGGTGTTTTCTCTAGGGAGGTGGGTGGTTAAAAATATATTACACAGTTACATCTTGAACTGGGTCTTTTTGGTTTGCTAGTAGCCACCCTTCGATATAATGCCCAACCATCCCTGGTCTTAAAATGATGTAATTAATGAAGAAACTGGAATTTCATTGACATACTTCCTGTTTATGCTTCTCTAGTCCCAGGTCACTGTGGATTCTGATAAGCAGAACCACAAGCCTGCAGAGGTTTTCCAAACTGGGTCTGATCGAGCACAACAAACAGAGATTTTGAAAATTTGCGTGCATTCATCCGGTTTACATCAAATTCCGTGGATGTCAGCATTTGAAGATAAAGCCTAAGAGCTAAGAAATGATCTTTTCAATACTGTTATGCTTGCTATTCGGCAATTTCCCGGTTATCTTCTGCGTAACATCTACCGTTTGCGACTGCAAGAATGTCAGATGTCCACAAGAACCGAACTGTCGGAACAGAGCTAGGGTCCTCGATCAATGTGGTTGCTGTTTTGTTTGTTTAAAAAAATTGGGCGAAATTTGTGGAAGAGATTTACTTGGAAGATGTGAAGATGGACTTAAATGTGAGCCAAGCAAAAACATTTCTGCAGGCAATGTCAAAGTCGGTGTTTGCCAAAATGGAAAAGGTGAATGCAATACTTGATGAAACGCTTATCAAAGCCCACTTGTTTGTAGTGTATGTAACACGTTGAACGTAGTTCCAAATCTCCGTTCGGAGAGTGAAGGTCCATTTTTATCGCGAGTGCAACCTGACTTTCGGGAGAGGGTGTTTACGTATCATGGAATGGAACCTGAATGTCTGGACGGGTGACAAATTTTAGAAGGGGACTTTTCATGGTCACAAGTCACTGAGAAATTCTAGCAAATAGAAACTGTCAAAGTAAAATTTAATATAAAAGGGGCACTAACTTCCCTTTGAGCATTTCAGGAGCTATGTCTATGTTGGCTACAATTTGGTCACACAGCTACTCTTCATATTCCCATAATTGTAGGTGATACACACTCCGTTTCGCTGGCGGGCGAACAAAAAAAATTCTTCGACTGTAAGTATGGAAATAAGACCTATGAGTTTCAGTTTATGGGAAAAAACTAGCAAATTCGACATCAATTTAGAAACACGTCACTACTTGACGTTTCCTTTGCGCGTATGCTTTTAAACAATATTTCGGGGGCATAGCCTTAAAGTTTTCACACCAAAACAATAGCTTTCTGCCGTATAAGGATTAAATATTGGGGTGTTAACACTGCGTGGTCGCCGTTGTATTGGGGTTTGAGGAACCCCTGAGAAGGCCTATTTACATCTTGCAATGTTTGACTTCAGACAAGTCACTTCGCTTGAGCTGTTTTCGACCGTCAGACAGCCACAAATGGTTCTGAAATAATCAAATAAATACTCATTTGCTCTGTCTGGAATTACTCGTTTTTATTAATTGAACCTTAAAGCGGCGTTTTATACACATGGCTAATCATTTAATTTTCCAGTACGTAAATTGTGGTTCGCTTGGACGGGGCCTGTAGAACGGCACTACAATTCGGATGAGCAACCTTTGTAGAAACTGTTGTACCCACTGCAGCAGACATGTGTATCATATCAAGTATCCGAAAAGGATATGTTCCTCGCAAAATGAAGGCTTTTCTCGGATTCTACAATATTTATGAACATAACATTACAGAGATCATCTTTCTTTAGGATTTACGCTAACCAAAGCAGATTATGGTTGCATTTCTTGAATCCCAGATAGAAATAACATCTTTTGAGCTTTTGTAAGATACTCCAACTTTATTACCCAGGCGAAATCGTTGACTGTTTTCCATAGTAATTAATTCCAAAAACATCTATATTTTCATTGCTGCGCTCTCTCGAATTACTTTAACTCCCTTTTTCGTTCAGTTAAAGACAATCTGTCACGACGTTGATTGATTATAAGAACAAAGGGATTTTTTATTGTTTCCAGTCCCCCTTCAATTTATCGCATTGTAAAAAATATGGCGGAGCGCTGGAATCGTGTTTAGATTATTGTTCCAGCTATTGTTCTCGTTAACCAATCTACAACAAGACAGATTGCCTTTAACTGTAACAATTAACTTGAACTCACTTAATTGAAATCGTTGAAGCCCGATCTAGCTGTTTCATTTGTCCCTTTCATATCAATTTCACCTACTTTTCTTTGCTATTCAGTGATGGGGTTCTCGTATACACCGTCCACTCTTCGTTCTTGCCAAAGTCTGTAGTCAGATTCATTGGGGGTCCTTCTGCCTGCTGAATCAAATACATTAAGGGGATATAAAAGTTCTCAAACTTGATTCTTTCATTCCATAGATGAGAGGTCTCCAAGTAATCTTGAATGTGACCATAAAGAGAAGCGGTATATAGAAAAGACGATCGGTTCACTCAAAACAATTTTGTGCTACGAAGTTGTCTGCGGCAAAAAAATGAGAGTCAGCTCCATACCCTCAAGCTGCAACGAAATTGGTTGTGGGATGACGAGGCCCTTTGACAGTATTTGCTGTTCTATGTGTATACCAGACAAAGTGCGGGTACACTGTAGTTCAGGTATGATGCAAGTTTTGATGCCAAAATCACTGATGACAAGGCAAGAGTTTAAGGCATCTTCTTTAAACGATAGACGATGCACTGGCTTTGAGATTAGTCAGAATTTTGTATTTGAAACATCAGTTTATGGTTGTGGAACAATTGCAAGAATCAAGCGCAAATCTTCGTTTGTTTTTTCTAATCGCATTCGTACCAATGGCAATGGGCTGTTCGGAACAACTGGCAAAACACTTTTCAGCTTCGTCTGTACCTACAGCCGCAGGTCAGCAGCAACAGCAACGTACAGGGTACGTCAAGACATTGTTACCAGCAGTGGCAAAAGTGTGGGCCTACATTTCACAAACAGAGGGCGACTGTTGAAATCCAAAAAATTAAGAATCACTAGAAACCAAGAAAGAATGGACGTCTCCATTAGCAGTCTTATTCCGAAAAAGTATAACCTCGATATTGCAGTGAATTCTTGTTACCTATCATCATCTAAAGAAATGACACGAGAAACTGGAACCGAATACTTTTTTGTTAAAAATGGGTATGTATGACTCATAATATTTTACAAAGCAGGCGCGAATGAGTGTTTTGGATGTGGATTAACATCCGATTTTTCCTGTAGTGAAAATAGTTTTCCCGGCAAACTTTACAGTTGGCATTAACCTTCAAAAGTTTTGGACGAATAGATTACAGGTAAAATATTTTCCTTTTTTTCACAAAATTGCGGAACAAAAATATCGATGTTGACTACAATGAAAGTATGACAGAAGACAATATAACAAATGTTGAGAATAATAACGATGTCTCGAGATTGCTTAGTGAACAAGGTTTGATACCGACTGTTTCACTTAGTAGCTAATTCTTCGAAGACGTTCCCTTGTATGCTTAATGTTTGTGAGCAAAACACACCATTTTCAAAAAAGTGGGAAACTTTACTGTAAATTTCTCGTTAGTGCCAAAAACTTCGGATGGTAAAAATTTCGAGCCACAAAAAATTTCGGACGGTTTAAGTTTCGGACAGCCCTACTATCCGAAAACGTTCGAAATTTTTAGTGTTTTATCTAGAAATCAACAGGAAAACCATAAGTTCTCGATGCCAAGGTTCTGTTGGAAATTTTTGTCTATGGCTGGATAGAAAAGGCTTTAGTAGAAGGGCTTGCAGTAGATAAAAGGATGCAATGCAGAATAAATACGCTATAAAATATGCGCTACTTAGTAAAACACAGTGTAATCCCGATACAACGAACTCTGAAGGGAACCAGAAAATAGTCACCCCCGTCTAAGTGCCCCGGTGAGAGGTCAGACTTTTGCGGGGTGGCGGTCACTTTTTAGTGGAGAAAATGATGGTCAAATTTAAAACCAGGGAGCCCTAAATTTGGAACGAGGACAATTTCATTTAAAAATTAAAACAACAGGAACATGGCATATGTAATTTGCCTGCAGCAATGAACACTTATGGGATTGCCCAAGTTTTTATCAAAAACCCAAGATGGAAAAGACCTGTTTAGTTACAAATAATTCAAAAATTCTAAAAAATATCAACAACACCCGTCAAAAATTACCTACCAATGGATGAAATAGAAATAAAAAGACTGGCTAAAATTATAGCACCAGCTTGTGATACCCAGTTGTTGGGTAACTGCTCCGAAATAGAGACTTAGCCTTCCTTTAGCTGAACGACTGCACATCAGCATTGACACTAGCTGCATATTATACAATTCGCAATTATACAAACATTGGCAAACAATAAATAGAAAGTTTGGAAAAGTAGCACACTTCAAATTTTTCAAGACCCTTTGATAGAAAATTTGACAAGCCAATATAATAATAACGGACTAACGGAGCTTCCAACCCCATAGATCTGATCTGTATATCGGGACAAGCACTGGATATAGTAACTAGCCGAGGGGACACGACACTATGGTTGCCGCCGAAGGAAAAAGGAACATTTTGAAATTTTGCTGATTTTAGTTCGCTGGAAAATGCACTGTTCAAAGCAATATTTACTAAAGCAATTCTCCTAATCGTACTGAAAATTAATTTATTTTTGCAAACAGATTGTGCAGCAGATAAAAACAACTGATACAATTTGCCGTGGTCTTTAAAATAGAATGCTCTTGCGTTATTTCTAGAGCCAGGTAAACAGTGCCACTAACTGCCAATTGACCCTCTTCTCATCTTGGAAATTTTGTTTGCATGTAAAAAAGGTCTGGAGCTCATTGTGAATTTCAGTTAACGATTCTTCCGAAAAACTATAGGAAAATTTGACACATGGTACAATTTTACCAATGGTGGCCCTTGATTTTGGATTCAGTACCAACAAGAAATCTCGAAATCATTGGCTTCTGTAGAAAATGCAATCCAAGTGAAGGTGGTGCCAGGAAAGAAAATTGCGCTGATATCAAGAGAGTGTGAACGATAAGCTCCTCCAGTTAGTGTCTGCTTTTTTCTTTCTCTTCCTTTTCTGAGGTGCTGTTGGTGTGTCTATTGCGTCATTATTGGCTTGTTCTAGACCAAACAGACCTTCATAATGATCTCCTGCTATGTCTCAATGCTTTTTCTTATTGTCCTACTTTTTTTCCTTTGCGTCTCACATTGTAAAGGTAAATTCCCCCAGATTTACAGTGAAACAATCCCCACAAAGATTCCTGAACAGTCCATCCAAAGGGCACTTTATGCAAATTTTTTAGAGACACTGGCAATACCACAGCACTGAAATTTGCAAGAAGCTTTCTAGGACAACCTGATCATTGCCTGCATCCTACTCTCATTTGTCTCTATAGCTCCTTATTCTCATCTTGGTGAATGGAGCCTTACCTACGAGAAATATCTTAATCCATTATTCCGATTACAGAAGAAAATTCTGCGAGCCATTAAATTACAAGCTTTTGTTTGCTCCCTTCTCGCCAATTTTTCTATTTTTTAGAAGCAAAGCATTTTTAACAGTGTAACTATTTGGGAAAATTCCTCAGTAGGCCCAATGCCTTCCCCAGTAGTGAGAGTCACAATCACATAATTTCCCCAGTAGTTTGGGCCCTGGCGATTTCCACTGACCTCTAATATTATTCTAAAATCAACTTTTAAATGACGTTTTCTGTATTTCTTAACTTTGTGCTTTCGTGGATTTTTTGCAATTCATGAATTAGATTTGTATTGTATTGCCTATAGTATTGCGCTCCCACAAAGGAAATATATATACCCAGTTGTGGATCAAAATAGGCCGAGCACATGACTTTTAAGGTTGCCCAATCAGTGACGCTTGCCTATAGAGAATGTTACCAATGGAGTCCTAAGGTGAAAACGAACTCATATTTCAATCCACAACTGGGTATATATACTCCCTAGCGTAGCGGTTTCAATCCATGTCTTGACATTTTATACTCTGAAGAGTGTCAGATGAAAAGCTTAAGCATGACTTTTTCAAAGCCATTTTCAAGTTTTGTATCGCCAAAATATTGTTTAGATATATTTTTATTATACATACACCTATAAAACAGTATGTATATGGACAAATACACTTTTTTATTCAGCCACACTACTTCAACAACAAACTGGATTCTACCCTGAGCACCAAAGCAACATAAATTCGAGCACAAAAATAGAAGACAGGAGTGGTAAATGAAAAGTGGCTCTGGGCTAACCCTCCTTCTCAGGTAGACGCTCCTCCGGCTCTCGCTCCTGTCTTCTATTTCTGTGCTGATTGTAGGTCCAATTGCTCGAATTTATGTACCCAGGATAGCTGGATCTCTTAACGGTTTAAGATTGTGTGACAAAGTCCAGTGCAAACTGACCGATTAAGCTGTTTTTTGTTAACTTTTCCCCTAGCTGTGCTTGTCTCCTTTCTATGGTTTCAAATAAACGCCTCACCACAGCGTAGACCTGTGTGCTTCTTTTGGTTATTTCTCTTTGGACCCTTTTGACAAATTTTCCCCAGTAGAGAAATTTCTTAAAAAATGCTCTGTTTAAAAGTCAGCCAACCACAACCGAGTATCTTGATCGAGGCGATCTATCCCGGGGACAGTATTTTGTACCGGGAAGGGTCTTGCCAGGTCAGGGACAGGAACTTTTTATAATTATTTCACCGGGGAATTCACCGGGACACTTAGACAGGGGTGTATGGTTTGCTATATCGGGAGTTTGTTAAACCGAGAGAAATTTTATTTTAGGTCTTTTCGTAGTACATGCCTAAAAATACCTTTGGTGGGCTTGTTTAGGCAATCTCCGACTTCTGTGCACATTTTACTCCAAAAATCAAGCTTAATTAAAATATTTCTAATGGTTAGTCGACGAAAATGAAAACCTTTATTTTCCTTTTATAATTTGGGACCAAAAAATTGGTATCACTTTACTTCTAGTTGGTAGCTGGATGATTCTTCGATTACTTTTCATTCTTATTTGTGTATTTCTTTTCACATTCCATTTCGATCTCCCAATAAAATTTTTTCGTCGCTCATTGCCAATGTCTCATATGTAAGAAGGTATTTGTCAGTGTCAATATTCCTCTCGTAGTAATTTATGACGCGATCAAACTTTCATCTCGTGCTCTGAGTCAATAATGATTTCCCCAAAGAGAAAGTGATAAATGAATACTGAAAATAATCAAGTATAAATGAGAGACGAAAAATTTACGAAAAGTTCGTTATATCTAGGGTAATTATGATGAAGGGACCTAAAATTTGGCTCGTAATATTGAGAGCTCGTAATTTGGAGAGTTCGTAATATCGAGAGTTCGTTATATCCGGGGTTCGTTATACCGAGAGAATTTGTAAGGAGTTTGTTAGGCAGAAGCCAAGGCACAAGACATTTGGTTCGTTTTACCGGAAAGTTCGTTATACCCGGGGTTCGTTATATCGGGATTCCACTGTATCCCATTTTCATAATTTGTAAAATGTTTTTCTCTCACGAACAGTTGCACGATTAACAAGAGGTCGAAGCTTCAATTCAGAACTGGACATGCAATTTGGTTTTCGTTCGATACAAGTGGTTTGGTTGAAAAGGTCAAAGGCAAAACATATCTTCATTGTGATGTTGTCATTTGCTCGAAAAGGTCAAGAAGCTTGTGGTGCAGAAGAAAATGCGGCAAGCAACTGACAAATCAGACAGAATAAGACCAGAAACTATAAAAGGTTTATGAATTTCATTCATTTTTTGCAATGTCCTTGGGGCTTTCAGTTTAATTATACTGGTAAATGTAACTTGAAGATGTTTTAAAATGGTGTGCATCTTGTTACAAATTGTGGAAATGTAATAAGTAATAAACAGTGTGGAAATGAAATGTAATAAAAAGACTGTAATAAGTCATATCTTAACATTTAATTTTCTTACTACGAAATCAGTGTATCGTTCTACTAATATAGTTTCAAGATGACAAAATATATTTTGTTTAGAGAAAATGAGGTTTGAAATACGTAACTTAGGCCTCGCTTGTCTAATCCTTAGGCCTTTAAAATGTCTCAATGCTGTCTATTCTTTGTCCTTTCAATAGAGGTAGGCTTCATTTGCCCTATTCCGGCCAAGGTCTATTGACAACAGTTTAAAGTTGATCAGTGTCGAGTTTTCGACCTTCCATTTTTATCTGATTGCGCCTTTAGAAGAAACACTCACAAAAGTCATTAACTTAAACTTCAATTTTTTGGCAATTCGTGTAATAAAAACATTTCCAACCAAACAAGTTCATAAATATCTAAGTATATAAAAAATGAAAATATCGATAGCTAATTTCAATGCCGTTTTCGATAAATAATGTTAGAAATATTTTGAATGTTATCTAAATGTTTGCATGCGAAATAGTTTAAGCATTTTCTTTGATAAAAGTAAAATATGTTTTCTTTTTGCATCCAGTCATGCATGTTGCCTTGTCAATTCTGCATTTTACAATCCTAACCGAATTCCTTTTATCGTCTCGCCAACCTATATTTGACCTTTTTCGGCAAAAATGTACCCGAATTCTGGTTATTGACTGTTTGCACGAAGGCATGGAGCTTGGTGTCTCCTTCGCCTTCAAAAAAGTCATGCTCCACAATGTCGGTTGCATAGACTTGCTTTTGAGCTGGTCGTGCAAACTGCAGCTTGGCATGTCAGGTCCACATACTCCCGGTCATTTGGATGGAATCTTTTCCCTTGGTACGAAAACCAGTCTTTGTGTTGATAATTTGTCTTGGCCAAGAGTCTTGCTTGAAAAGTGAACCAGAATTTCTCTGCACTTTTCACGAGGACTTTCAGCGAAGGCTCTGTTGGACACCTGGTGTTGAAAAAAAAATTAGCAGTTTTTAATAGTCACCATTGAAGATGTCCCATATGATAGCATCGTGATTAAGTTCGACAACCGGTATTTCAGTCAGATTATACTTCATCAATCGGGATTGATCTGGCCTAACCTTGTTCCAGAAACGTAAAGGAAGGGGAAAGACTATGTAGTTAGGGATTGCGAATTGTGATTTGAGACAAGCGGCCTGGACTGAATCAGGTTTTAATTAAATGTAAGTTTCAAAATTTTAAGATTGTTTCCGTGGGGCTATGGAGGGGGTTGCAGACGATCGATTCCACATAACCTGCTTATTTAAATGTGTAGAAATAACAGGAAATCTCACATTGCCTAGAATAACCCAGGTATAACGTTTTCTCGAAGAAGAAGTAAAACTTTGAAAGAATATCATCATCTATTTCAAAGCCAAGAAACGTGGCGGACATACCAAACGTGAGGATGGCCAATAAAATTGAAAGAAATGAATATACCAAGCTCATACCCCGCCTTGTTTTCATTGTTTACTGAGGAAGGTTTACAGAATTGTCCCAAGGAAGTGTCAGCATTTTTCTGGACTCTGTTCTACATACAGTATTTTATTACTAAATAATGAAACACAAATGACGTACCCTTCGTTGATAAGTGAATATGATTTTCTCCGATTCAGGGAAATTATATCGCATTTCTCAACAACAAGAAACCGGTCTCGCTTCAGCCTCCGATCAGTGGATATTCGAAGGAAAACAGGTTTTCCTTCAATTGCCTCCGTCTGCATAGGATTGCCTTTGATAATATTCCCGAGTTCATCAGTGTAAACCATGACGAAATTAATATTTTCGTCAGGCCTTCGCACTTTGATTTGCCCGGCCTTTGGTGAGTCAACGTCAGGGTTTATTACACGAAAATAACAGGAAAACCTAAATAACGGTCTTATTATTATGTTACTCAAAAGGGACCGTACAACGACATTTGAATATCGAAGGCCTAGGTGCGTCTTCTCAAATTTTGTACCGCATGAAGTCAGTCCGGTACGGAAAACTACGTGCGAATCGTTGCGCGAGGGTCTGCATTTTAAATCAGTCAGAAATATCCTATTCAGGTCTCTCCTATGTAACATTTCTTTTGGGATTTCGAGCCTTATTTCATTAGGGTTGCAATGTACACTCCGCTTACAGACGCGGCAGCACTTGCTTTTTCTGTCCGTGGGTGGCGCACATCTTTTCGGACACTCCATTTTATGCCGGGTAATAGAACTATTGCTATGACACTTGAATATATCGCACTCATCTTGCCATTGGGAATCTGCGGTGTGTCTTTTCCCATTCTTTTCGTCGATGCAAAATATTTCCTCAGTTTGATCTAAAAAGGAGACAAGAATATAAAATATGCACGATAAACTTTACGGACATTCTGCATTCAACGAGTTGTGCCACAATCGGGCAAACTCGGACGCTTTGAGGCCACGCCTTAATGGAGACATTTTAGTACCACGCCTTGCTAATAGTGTAATTTTCTTTGCTTAAAACATGACCTACTTCTATCCAATTAATTGCATCAATTTCCAGAACACCAATGTGGACCTAAAGATCCTTGGTGCAAGAAAACACAGAATAACAAGTATACTGCATATTATTCTCCATGGTGTTTGATTCTATGACATGAAAGAATGAGAAGGCCTCTCTTTACACGATTACGAGTTTGACCTTCAGGATTAACGGAGAATACCTCCACACAGTTATGATTATGGATTTTGCGAATTACTCGACATCGTTACTTAAAGGGTTACAAGATTTGCTTGAGGAATAGTCAAGGATTAATCGGAGCCTTCTAAGCGGGTAACGGATTACGGAAAATCCAAATTTGCATGAATCTCTTTAAGGCAAATGCTAGTTAACTATAATCAATGGTGTTCATTCAAGATTCATGTTTAGTTTTTGCTTCCTGTTCTCTGGAGTCCTTTACTTCTCAAAATAAAGGCAATTACTTGTATTTGTCAAGGGTTTTCCTTATTTACATTGGATACTTAATTCTTGATACGTCGTTTCAATGTAAGAATGTTAATTAAACAAAGAAACGATGTAACTGGACCAGGCAGGAAAAAACATCTTCAAAAGTATTTTCAGCTTATTAAAGTTTCCAAACAGGTCCCTCCTTTTTCTTCTACTTACATTTACTTGGGAATTCTATTTGCTTTACAAGCCAAAAATTGTCAAAGAAAATCAATCAATTTTTTAATTTGCCTAATGATTGACCCGCTAACTTTTAAGAACAGAGATTGACCCGCTAACTTTTCAGAACAGAGACGAAAGTTGTCTCGTTTGACAAACCTCCGTCGTGTTTTATAATTTTTGTTTACGGTCTAGGATGGCTGTAGTGTGTATTCTATTGATTTGAAAAATTATAAAGTAGATTAATTATTATACAATACTACCAGTAAAACACGTCCATGGATTGTACTGTCACATAGCTTGATTTGATCTGACATGACAGTAGTACCTATTGATAAAAAACTTTGACCCTAATGATGAAAAGTATTAGCGACCAGATGAGATGAGGTCCCCTCTACACGCATAGTTGCCATGTGATATTGAAAAGCCCACACACTTCGTACGAGACACATTTATCTATGTTTGGGAGGCATTTGCGGGAAATATGAAAAGAGATACATAACACTTGAGCTTTGATTCATCTATATCTTTCACCAAAATTTCTTATCAGTGGAGTGGTGGTTCAAAATTGGCTAGGGAGCACCAACCTTTTTCGACGTCCCTTAGATAGTATTATGCCCACTGTCAAGGCCTACAATAAAAATTTTTACAGATCCACAATACTAATTTACATCTCCACAAAGTGAGTCACATCCACGCTTAAATTAGGCCTTGTCCACGGTACTGTGCCCTAGAGAGTATTAGTAAAATGGGCTGCCAAAGGATACTTGGATGCTATCACATCCTGGGCCCTACCCTGGGTTCCCGTAACGTCAAGGGTTGCCGAGAACGTGGAATGGCGCGGAAATGCGGAGGTGGAAAGAAAGAGACGAGAAAAAGACGACTTCACATCAAAATATGTGTTTTTTTCGTAGCGGCTGTGTCAAGTTGCCTTCTTTGTTCACACTTGTTTTCAACGGGATGTTTGCCCTCCTCATATATGGTAGGTGGTGGGGTACATGCCACCCGGCCCAACCGGCCAATACGCCACTGCTTCTTATACCATTGAACTGGTATACCATTCATTATGGCAGGGAAAGGACTTTTATGACGGTTAGATTGATAAAGCTTACGGCAAACATTTAGCTATCTATTTGTATTCAGTTTCCCAATTTTCTGTTGATTTTGTTGCTAAAAGATTCTTAAACACCAAAACCACTTTCTAGAAAGGCAAAGATGTAACGTAGGATAACACGAAATAGAATACCTGATCAGTCGCAAGGAATTTCCTTTTCTATTGTCTTTGCAAAATGAACAGGAATTAGCGTGCCGAAAGCTTGGACGCCGGAGTAATTTTGGAGTGGGGAGGGGGTTCTCAAATTGGTTAATTATTATAGTGGTTTGCCAACATCATGTTGTTGGTAGCCACATGGAATGTATTGACATCTGACTGATAATTAGCTCAATTTTAATAGTGGAGCATCATTTTAAAAAGACAAATATCACTATTTCAAGAAAATAGACAGCCATTATTCGGAATATTAGAGGCTCCGTTTTAAAAGCCACAATTTAAGGCCACAATTTCATTGTGATCAAACTCGAGTGTCAATGTGAATTTTGAACGAGGACCGTTCACTTTGAGATGCTTTGAGCGCACTCAGGAAGGGGGGTATATGCCTCTTTGACTCGTGATATATAGTACGCCTGCGCTATGGCCATGGCCCCAAAAAGGGGGTACGCATTTCAGCACTTCGAGCAATTGCAGGCTTATCTCCCCCAACAAAAAAGAAAAACAAAACTATTGACATTTCTGGTTCCCCTTAGGATATGCTATTAGCGGTGTAAGATTATCAATTCCATCATTTATAAATACTTTTAGAATTATATGGTTTACCTAATTTCGAAATTAAACCAAGTTTTGATAACGAATTTGCCAAAGCAAAGTCATACACAGTGACTGAAATAATTAGCCTCGAGGAAACATACTCAATCGTATACTGGCAATTCCATATACATTTTAGATACTGAATATTAACATGAATCTATAGCCCAGTGGGGAAGGGTTAACACTTGTTGTATGGAGTTTTCCATGAAACTTTTCTGCCACAACTGTTGCCACACCCTCAAGCAAGGCAGTGGCATTGACAACCACAATTACGCCACTATGAATTTCGTTCCGACGACACTGGGCTTTGCCCACTTCCCACAAAGTTTTTCTCTATCTTTTCTACTATTCCAGCTAATGTCTAAACATCAGTTTACAGCTAATTCTTCATGGTCAGTAAGGCTTTCAAGTTGCCGCCATATTACCCGAGTCTCCATGATTGACAACACAGAACGAAACTTTTATTGAATAGGTTCTCAGAACGCACCGCTGGTTTTCATAGGTTGCTTTGTCTAAACGAGGCTTTGTCACTCGGGATATCATCCAATAGTCCCCATCTACAAAAAACGATAATTTCGCGAGATCACTGCACTCTTTTTTATAAGAACCAGTAAATTCAAGTTTAGGCTGACTGTTCTTAATTTTTTTCGAAAATCTGAGGCTGGATTGTTCTTAATTTGTTCCGAATCTAATAGGATGTAAGCAGTGCAAGTGCTAGCTTTTTCGCTCTAGGGTGTTGTACAGGCCTCATTTGCCAATAAAATGAGTGAGACAGCCTTAATTTGCCGACAAATTTGAATATTCACCAAAAAAGCACCCATGCATCGCTAAAAATCCTCGATTTTGAGAAAAAAACGTTCAACATTGCATTTTGCAGAAGCTCAGCCTCAGCTTGTTCTTAATTTGTTCTTAACTTTTGACCAAATTTGAAGCTCGTGTTCTTATAAAATTGTTGTTCTTATAAAAAAAGAGTGTACAACTTGCTGATGGTCATCAAAATCAGAAAAATTTCAGCCACCGCACTCGGACCGCACCAGTTCTTTTGTAAAGTAATTTTTTAAATTTTGGCTGAACCCTTGAGAAAGAACAAAAAACTTTTTGAACTTTAGGCCTGGAATGTTGTTATAGTAAAGATTGGGTAAGCTGCACTGAAGGAAAGCACTTTTATCTCAGCAAAAACAGTTCTTTCGACGATTTGGAGCAAAAATCTAACAAAGCACAAACCAATACTTTTCCTAACGTCTATAGCTTTTGGGCAGCTTCAGCAGAATTAAAAATAAATCGGCAGTTTTAATTGAAAACATGCGGGAATGGTAAATGTTTAATCACCCTTTTTCTACATTAAGCTGCTTGACTAATTCGTACCCTCTCAAAGTTCTGATAAATATCCCAGCAAGTTCGATGACTCTTGCATTCGCTTCGTTTCGTGAAAACTATTCTCCTTAGAACAAAATTAAATAAACAAACAAATAAATTAATAAACCAATAACACTTTGTAGTGTTGAATTTTCTTGTCTCTTTACAGCCCTTATCAACCCGAAGGTTATTGTCATGTAAAATCATGGAGGCATGGAGAACGAAGCTGTCAAAATCCAGCATAAGAAACGCGCTTATCTTGTCTAGCGTGATGTCGGTTCGAAACTTCGTCAACCTCAAAGGAAGCGCCTAATGTGAAGAAATGAAAAGGTCGCCCTCATCAAATGTCAAAAAAGAGTTTATTGATGACTGGCAATCTATTGCTTGTAATTTATATTTTGAAAAATCTTTTAAAAACCTTTCGACGTTTTGCAGAATGTTTTACAGGACTGACCTCGTGCTATAAAATCTATTTACCAAAACTTGAAAGTAACAGAAAGCATAAACAAGGCAAATTTTACTTCAACGCTAGCCTAAAATGACCTGTAATAACCTGAATAATATTTGAACCTTAAAAGTAGAATATCATGAAGTTTTTCTGAATCGTGACAGTCCATTTTGGTCTTTTTAAAATACTTATGCTGTTTAATCTTTATATGGTTCTGTTAAACATGTTAAATGACTACGAACCTTCAACAACAGCGGTTGTTGTTGCCTTTTCTTGAACTTCATTCCTTGTCAATGTTTTTGTCTTTTTACTTCTCTCTCTACACCAACGTAAACATGCTCTTGCATCAATTTCGTAGCCTCTTAGCTCCGCCGCCCGCAATTTTGCACATGGACACCAGGCATCCCTTCTTGAAACTCCACCCCTCGAAGAAACAGAGACAAGAAACAGATAGAAAAGGGCAATATTAATGAAAATCTTCATGTCCGTGTAGTCAATGGTTCGGAAACATTAAGGCGGCTTTTGTAGCAAATGTTCCTTGGATGCAGAGCTGGCAAACAGCGGAAGTAGATCAATCGTCAAACTTGTGAGCATTAACTTCTTCTCCTCCACAGTAATGTGCGAGCCCCGATCAGTGAGTCCGAAGGAAAGAAGGCTAATTAAATGCGGAAGTGATTCGGTTTCTTTAACCGGTATTGGAAAATATACAAATGGTAGCACCACACCACGAAGAAGAGTCGAATGGGATACGTCCCCCTAGTTCTCAGCAGAATCGGTTTTGCAATTCGTTGAGAAAATGTAAGGGGAAGGGTAATATTTTAGTAAAGTATGATCCTTTGTAATGTAATTTTGTGATCTTTGAACTGCCTTTACATAACCAAAGATTAGTAATGGGCATTCCCTTTTCGTAAAATTGGCGTTCCCTGCTGATAAAGGACAATTATTCACAGTTGAAAAGGCGTTCCTCGCACATTTTTTAATTATGAGATTAAGGAGGTTAGGAGAGATACGCTTTTTAACCTCAACGTACCATAACGTGATTGGGAATTGGACTGAGGAGATTAATGTAGAATTGAAAGAGATTGAGACATTCAGTGACGCCGGAGCGGGGGGGGGGGCGGTGGGGCAAATGTGCCCCTTTTAAAAAAACAATTTTAAATACAGTCATTTTTTATTTAAAGATTTAACGTTCGCCACAATTCCCAACTGCTCTTATGCTTCTATTATTCTTTTTTACTCAAAAATAATGGATGATTACAAAACAAATGTTAGAATTAACGAGAAATCAAGCATTGTAACGTTGACAGTTACTTTCGTAAAATAATTGTATGCCTCCCACTGCTAATTACTGTAACCTTTTGCTATTGTCACATGATTTTACTCTCTCGCATAGTTAATGTTCAAATGAAGTAAAAGAATGGAATAATTTCTTTTTCCACGATGCCAAGAGCGGGTAGAAGGGTAACCTTACGGCGCACAAATGCGCCAATCTAGCCACTAAAGATGCCCTTTCAAAATTTCTGCCCCCCTTACCCTTTATTGGCTCCGTCGTCCCTGGAGACATTCGTTTTTTCCAATAAAGCCCAAGATATCTTAGGTTTCAGCTCTCAAATTTGATCCGTCCTCAGCCCTGGTTGCCTTTTTACTAGTTGCTTGTAAAAATTTTGTAACGGGAAAACTCTTAAAATATGCGCCCATGTTTATTTACGCAAACGGCATGCGTCATGGCAGCTGTCATGAGAAGCTGACTTTACTGAGTTTTGTATTTTCATGCAGTGCGATATTTGGCCGGTTTTGGAATTAATGTCGCAAAGCATGCCGGTGGCACAAAATTTCTTGGTTCTGGACTTGGCATCTTGGCATTATTGCCACTATGGTACGTCCGTCCGTGTGCACTCTAAATCCAGTAGAATCAGTGGCCAACCAAACAGATATTGTTGCTTTCCGCTGGTCATTTTTATATAAATTACCATAAAATGTTGCATTTCTGTGGCATTTCGCTAGTCTCTAGGGATTGATAAAATTAATCTTGTTTGTCTGCATCTTTTATTTTCCCTTCCTATCAGCCATTAAATCACCCTAAAAGCGGAAGCAAGAGTTGATCGGATATTCAGTTTAAAAACAGTCCCAACAACAATTCGACAGTCCAAATTTAAAAACAGTCCCAGTTTGTACAATTTTCTTCTATTTCTTTGCAAGGCCACAGCAATAAAGAAATTACTTGAGGCCACAGCAATCAAGAAATTATTCGAAGCCGAGACAGTAAAGAAATTATTTGAGGCAGGGGCTAAAATAAGACATTTTTAGAGATCCACATTTTCTATAAAAATTGGGCGTGGTACTTTGCTGGGATTGGCATCATTGGGGTGGCAAATATAGAAACTGCCATCATAGTGCAAACAGCATGTCCTAATTGGGCAAATTCTTAAATGAATAAAGTATAAGTAGCAAAAGCTGATTCTTTTCAATATATGGATTGGGTTAAAAAGAAAATTAGCTACATATAGCGATGTCTTAATAAGTGAGCAAAAGGTTATTGAAAGGAAACTCTTTTACATGGTTTGTTCGGATCTCTGTTTTATTTCCTTTCACCTTAAAAAACTCTCTTCAATTAGCCTTGCTTGTTAGACTTCGGTGTTTTTTGGTTTTTGGGAGCCATATCTTTGCAGCTTTTCTCGGAACTCGAAACTTGCGAGATCAAGCAAATTCATTGCAATATTTATCTATTTGTTAAGTTTTTGTGGAGCTATGCTGCTTTCCCCACCTGCCTCTATCTTGTTGTAGGTGGGAATCTGCCTCTCTACATCGACAGGATTAGGGTTTGCTGCGAGAATCCGAGTCATTGTCTCGTCTGGTAGAATTCCTCTGAGAACAAGTCTCAGATCTCTGCGATCTTAGTCGTTTATTTCTCAAAATTCAATACATGATTGAATGAAATATTTTGTCCGGGAAAAAAGCTGGGTGAAGCTTTCTCAAGTCTTTTTCACTTATGGAAAGTTCTTAACTGCATTCAGCTCATCAAATTCTTTGCCATCAAATCTGTTCTTCAAAAAGTTTTGATATTATAAACGAAAACCTTCTCTCAAATAAACTCTTCTCTCACTGATGTACAAATTGTGCTTGTTTCTTCTTATTCTCTTTTCACCCAGCTTGAAAATATGACCTTTACCCCCGTCTTGTTTGTAATGCAGAAACCACGCACCAGATCTCAATTTTGGAATTACGCCAAATTTTTGTCATAAGATTGTGCTAGATTTGCAAAAATTATGCTAGATTTAAAATCAAGGGAACCCTGCTTGAGAAAGAGGCTAATGCATGCTCTGAATATCAAAAGTGGCCAGAGTTGCAATTTGGCCTTTTTGACAACCCAGTGTACTCATTCTTCATAAACAAAAAGGCAATTTATACTCATGGTTTGATGACCAAATTTCTCCATTCTGGCAGTTTCTCAAAATCCCTTGGCTGTCATAAATTAATTTGGCCGAAGAAGCAAAATTTGGCTGAATTCTGGCAGCATGTTGCAAAAACAACGAAAATGCAAAGGAAAAAAAAATTTTTGCACAGATAATTTTCAAAACTTTTTAAAATAATTTCAAAATTGCAAATGATGAATGATGAAACAAAGTAAAAGATAACAGACAGTTTTGGATAAAGGCAAATGAAAACATTTGTAACCTAAAAAGCAAATTTCGATTACGGTATCGCTCCCAATAATTAGCAAAAATTTAGCTCTTTTGTATACTTCGTTTAGCTGACTGCATTTGGCTGCCAACCAAAAAATATGTGGCTGCCAACCATTCAAAACAACTGATAAAATCCTGAAGGTGGAAAGTCACAATTTACTCCCTAAATGAAACCACAGACGCTGGTGTAAAGTGTTTCCATTTAGTAACGATAGACGATGTATCAATGGAAACAATGATTCTTTTAAATAATATTAGAATTATGCCAGAGTTATGCTAGATTCCTAATTATGCTAGATTTTATGCTAGATGACGATTTTTGGCCAATATTATGCTAACATTACGCTAGATCAGGTTACACTTGCACCAGCCCACAAGGGAGTGGCTGAATAGGGACTAGGAGGCTTGCCCCTAAATTTTTTTACGGCCACGCCCTTTGAAACACCGGAAAACACCCCTTTCAGAAAATATTTGCTCCTTTCTGTCCTTGTTGATAAATATATCGATTTAGAGAAGATTTCAATTAATATAAAAATACAAAACCGAGTTAGATAAAATGCAAATTTATCTTTGACCACACAAGATAAAGCATCATCAATAAGAACGAAAACGTATTCCCAGCAGAACTGCTACTAATGCGTTCTTTAGCGTAAATTTTCAAAACATTTTCTAACCTATTATTGCAAAAAAGTTGGGGAGGACTGGACTATAGTCGCTGTTATGCAACATTTCCAATTGAATGTTCCTCCCAGCTACCACCGAAAGGCTTATCATCGTTCAGCTGTTGAAGCCTTGAGAGGAATCTTTTCAATGCTTCTCTAATTTAAAACACCTTAGTTGAATTGCTTTATAACTTTTTCTGAAATCTACTGAAAGATCACATAAATCCCAAAATACATTACGGGCAGGAGATCATAATCTCGGTCTTGGTCTTTAGGCTCAGTGTCTTTTTTGAAGCAAGTCATAAAAGCAAACTAAATTGAGATGATGTCTTGAAGTCAAAGCTGTATACAGAGCCCATCTTACTTCAAAATAGCACACAACAATATCATAAAGCACAATTGATTCTTCTCCGCATGTACTGAAGCTTCGAGTTCTGAAGTTTCTTAATTCTTTTTTATTGTCCATTGCTTATTTCTTATCGCAATTTTCTTATAAAAAATGAGTGCAATACATAAGGCTGGGATTGCACATTCACTTCGAATTGAAAAAATGTTCCCTTTTTTTTCTTAGGCGTTTCGATTGGTATTTTATGCTGCACTTTTAAGAACATGCATTATTTACAAATCCACACTTTCTACAATTACAGTTCCACAATTTTAATTTACAACTCTACAAAGTGAGTCAGATCCACGCCTATTTTAGGCCCTGGTTTGAGGACTGAAAACGAGGGTCTTAACGGTAAATTGTCCAGAAACATTTTTTAGTCCACCTTCATCTCCATCGCAAAATGCAATTTTTTTTATTGATATCAAAATATTATCTAATGTCATCTCACAAAACAAACAGAACTTTTCGAAAATTAAAACTGGATTACTTGGGGGCACGACAAGAAGAAAACTCAATTGTCTATCATTCTTGCATTCTTAGCCCGTTGTATCGTTGAACTTTGTGAGAAGTGTTGCGTTGCTTCTGTTTTGCAGCTGAGAGGTGTTGCGTTGCTTCTGAACATCAAAAAAAAGGAGATTTTATGTGTAATCCCAATTTTGCAGCTTTTTTAGAGTTTGGGAGCATTATTTAAAAAGTTGTTATTCGCATGTTTTTAAAGAAAACAGCCAAATAGAGCTTTTTATTTGAAAAATCTCCCGGAGGGTCCACTCTCATTGTCTAGTGTAAGCACCCGTGTCTTCAATATCTCTGAAAAGGGGTTCAAGTTTGCCATATATCTAGAATATAAAAACAAAAATAAAGGGTGTATGATATGGGAATCTTCATGTAATTTCTAATTTTTCTTTGTTTGGCCTAATTTCAACTACTCGATTTCAGGAAAAAGAGTATAAACATTCTTTGGTTTCAAGTATAAGTCAGAAAAGGGGAATCAAATTGGAATCAAATACCAGAGATAAGGGTCAGTTTTCTAGACCCTCAGACACGGGCGCTAGATAGTGTGAGATGCCCACCGGGAAAAATCTGTAGACATATTTAACACTAGATACCAAAACATAGTAACCCTGCTGTTTTACCAGATTATAATAAAATATTGGAAATATCTAAACGTTCCATATTCACAATTCCTTTTCATTTTTTCAATCGAGAAGAAATTTTCTGTAAGAGATAAGTGTAGAGACAAAATTTTGTCGTGTTTTCTACGTCATGAGTCACTTTGGCAACGTGGAAAGTGTGAATCATAACAACCTTTAAGATTTGTAAATCAAGCATTTTGATTTTTTAGAGATGTACGTACACAGATATTTTAACAGCTACTCAATTTAAAAACTTGGCACTCGGTATGACTGTCATGTTTGTTTTCTGTCCTCTTCCTCAATTCCTTATCACGTGAAAAGTTGGTCTCACGGAGCAAAAAGGGTAGCACGAGCAGGCCCGTCGCTATACGAGGGCGTGGGGCGCGACACCCCCCTTGAAGAATAACTCAATTGCAAAAACGAGGAGTTTTGCCATCTAGAGGTGCTAAGTCGGCAAATTTCCAAACTTGTCGGCAAATACAGGATGCTCATCCACTTTGTCAGCAAATTAGACTTGGAAACCCCCTTTTTTCCTGGTCAGCAAAAATGTTCCCCTCTTTGCCCCTCAGCCTTCCAACCCTGGCTACGCCACAACTCTTTATCATCTTAACCTTAAAGTTGAAAACCAAATTTTAAAAATGGGCGTTTCCATCATTTACCAGTGACCTGAAGTGTGTGCTTAAATCCGCCTCTGGCGACAAAGGCATTTCACAAGTTTTTTCAAAGAGTTATATGAAACGTAATAGATTTTATTGAAAACCACTAAATCCTGGTTCCACTGAACCGAAATCCAGTAGTTGATAAAAAGGGTAGACTATATTATCTTTCATAAGTGGATTTTGTAGGCCTCAGATATCTATGAATTGTCTCTTTGCATTTTTTAATAAGGGTCATTATGATATATGCCATAAATGTTATTTATCTTTTCGCCACTCATCCAGTTATGCATAGCACTACAGATAAATTGGGGAGGGGGGGGGGGAGGTATGGATCAAAGTCTACCTTATTCAACAAATTTGCAGATAGAATGGATTTCTTGACATCAAAGTGATATTTGCAAGCACAAAGCGACGTTATTTTTGGGTCGGGCAAATGTATCAAATTCATGCTTTGTAAATAAGGTAAGTCACATGCTAGAAATGTAATGTAAAGAACACTGCAACACACCGCGGACAAAAAACAACGAATGCAAGTAAATTAAAGGTAGCTTATATTTCACAACGACGTGCAAGCATTATTATAAGAATGCCTAATTTTTTGCTGAGCCTCAATTTCTTTTAAGTTTCATTGATTCTGAGCAAAAGGTTTTACTAAAATTATTATGATTTATACTAGAATAAAATCAAAATTATTCTTAAGCCACATAAGTTATAACCGGGTTGCATTTTAGTCTCCAAGTCCTTCAACACTTGACTTGTGCGCTCTTATGTGCGTGGTGCATGCTGGGATTGTTAATTTTAAACAGGCAATGGGTTACTGAAACTGTTTAATGTCATTGGAACGTGAAGTCTTCAAAAACATTTCTTGTCTATTTTGAAGGGGCATATCTTTCAAAAATAGTGATGCTGAAGTTTTTCATTCAATTGTCCAGCAAAAGATGACAGCCGGTCCTGGTAAGCTGTTTAGGCCATCGGTAAGTTGATATTTTGAATCACTCTGGCTTAGGCCGCCATCATTTTACTTGCAGGATTTGCTATATTTTATTGGAAAACAGTTGCATTTTGTGCTAGATGTAAGGTAATAAATTGGTATATCTAATTTAGGCATTGAGGAACCATATACCTCTGTACCTAGGCTCCATTTGGATGTCTTTCTGGCAACAGTGCCTCAGTCTCTGACAGCACTAATGCTGATGTGCCACCAAGGATGTTTTCTGTGATTCTGATAACCATTAACCTCCTCAAGATGACTATAAATGCGATTAAATAAAACTCGTTTGAAATTCCTTATAGTCTACCCCCTTCAGCTACACTGCTATTTTAAAAACTTGAACATCTCATAGGCTAAAATTTGCCCCTCTTTGAATATGATAGAAAAATCTGATGTAGAATTGCTTGTGCATCTACACTTGGGGTACAAAGGTATGATAACGATAGTAAATAATTGAGGCTAAAAGTGGCCAAGGGCCTAAGAAGATGAGTTTCTGGAATAGAATTACTAGGTGAAACATTTGTGTCAAGTGACTTCAGCTGGAAAATAATGTGCCATTCCAATGACTTTGAAATGAAAATAGATTGAAAGGATTATTCCTCTGTTTCGAGAACAGAAGTACAGGGAAATGTTGAACCAATATTAAAAAATACAGGGAAATAATAAAATGTAGGCAAACACACCTCTTCATACTTGAGTCTGGGTACAGTTCGTTTGTTAACTGACAATAAAATTATTACTTGGAAGATTCTTTTAGGTGAGATATAAGCCTGCAGATTATTGATAATGAATCAAGATAAAACTGTTTAAAGGTGATGTTTAGTGATCAAATATTTTGTTGCTTAAAAATGCATAAACAGCTTGGATTCAAATAATTTTATTCATGATTTACAAAAGCAGAATAAAGATTAAACATTTAATGATTTTCTTAATCGCTACTTGTGTAGATGGTGAGCAAATTAAAGATTTAAAAACCATAATCTTTTTTATCAAATGAAGAGCGACTTACCTGGTGTCAATATTGAAAACTAGATTTCTGCTAAAACAGTCTTAAAGTAATAATTTTGTTATCAGGGCATAGCTTGAATATTCTTTATTATAATTTTTACTGAAGTGTTACATCCTTTTTCAAAAAAGCTTCATTTGATTGTCTCTATTTATGAATGCTTCCTAAAAACAGCAAATTAATCCTTCAATTTTGCTTTCAACTGAAACTCAGTAATATGGCCAATGCCCTTTCGTGCCATTAACTATTTTCCCCAAGCCCCTTCACCTAGTAAGTTTGTTTTGGAAATTTATCGTCTTAGGCCCTTGGCCAGTGTAAGCCGCCTTTATTGACTATCGCTTCCATACTTCTGTACCTTCTCTATTACAGGCCTTTTCATTTGAAGTGAGTAAACCCAACCACGTGAGCGTTTGATCGCTCGCGTGAAATGGTAACTTGTGAGGAAAAAATGTCTTGCAATTAACACATTTCTAGTCATCTTTTGTGACCCAAGCAAGTGACATAGACAATGCAAAGACGGTATATCAAAACACAGGAAATATACATAAGCTGACTAAACCACATCTCAACGAATAAATGCATTTGAAAATCAATTCCACAGCAAATGTTTTGGAATAATTTGGGTACTAGTATTTGAACTACCATGGCACTTAGGAAATTCTCTGGGCAGCCAGACTGTAAAGTGATTTTCTGTGCGGGGAATGCTAGAACAACAATTTTGAAATTTACGGATAACGAACGTTTCCCATGAAATCGTGCGCTGAAGCAAATGCTTTCGAAGAGATCATGTATTCTTTGTTTTTTCTTGTTATCAGAAGTCACAAGTTTTAATGGTGGAATTTTCGCGGGGAATGTGACCAGATAAACAAATGTTGTGCGTGGAATCTACACCAGATTCTTAACAACATTTTGCGATCATACGGCAATAAAGTCTATTCGACCTTCATGATATACATAAAGTTTATAAACAAAGCACATTTGTATTGGGTATTTATTCTTTCTTGGAGAGCATTGAAGGTCATCATAACAGTTTGTTTTCATTTGATTTTACCTCAAACAAAAGGGTACCTTTAAATCATTGCTATCACTACCAGAGCGATTGCTCACACAAGAGAAATCATGTGAGCAATCAGCCACTCGCGTGTGTGATTTCTTACGAAAAGGCCTGCTATTACAAGAAGCTTTCCAGTACAGCACCTGGCTCTATTGCAGGCTAATTTTTGGATTTGTTTCAGAATGTACCTGACTGGTCCAGAATTTACCTGAATCTACTGGTTCAGAATCGGCCTGATAACACTGGTCATTTTTTAAACTTGTACTTGTAAATTATTTTGCTGTAACTGATGTTTAAAAAACTCCAATTTGGTAACAAATTACAACAGAAGTTTAGGAGCCAGAGCCAGTCTTTAGCCCACCAACCTGCAGAAATAAAGAGGCAGAGAAAAATTTTATCTGAAGAATCATTATCTGTGTACCATGTGGCTGCCATTTAGTTTTTTTCCTCTAAGAAGTGTCAGCATATTATAAGCTTACTGATTTATCATATTGAGTCTTGTATCTTGCTGAGTAGTTTGTAATCAAAGAAAGCTCAGAAAAGGAATTTGTTGAGAGATGTAAGGCTGCAGCCCTGCAAAGTAGCAGTATTTGCTGATATAATGTTATGTTCAGGGATCTTTGTACAATTGTGATAATGTATTCAATACTGTTCTCACAAAAACTTCTGAGATAGAATCTGGAAAAATTTCATACATTTTTCAGTCCTGGTACGCACGCGCACGCCTCTACACACGCCTCCACACACGCCTAGAACTCCAGAGGCGTGCTTTCTATCGCACGCGCAGTTCCACGTTTTGAATTACTATTCTTTTTCTCTTTTGTTTCTTTTAATTTCTTTTGTGAGGTTTTATATTGATAGCATTCCTGGAAGCATTTTAACTCTTTTCTTCGTTTCCATTAGGGCCGGTTTGTTACTGTTCTGTTACTCCGTTATTGTATGTCTCCGTTCTCTCTCTCCTTTTTTTTTATTTTCTTAAACACATTGCCCCGGGCCACTCTGTTTTGGTCAAAACGATAACATAGATGTTCCCATTACTCCATATTTGTCCGTTATCATATCCTTAGCTCGAGCTCTTTTTGAAACTGAGATTGAATGACTCCGTTTTTGAATGCCTCTGTCTTCACTGTTCCCAATAAAACGACACATATTCAAATGATTCCGTTTTCAGATGACTCCACTTTGAACATCGTTTTTGAATAACTTCGGTTTGGTATCAAATGACACTGTTTTTGAGCATATTAATGAAACTCAAATTCGAAAACAGATTCACTCGAATCTGTTCTCATACGGAAACGGAGTAATGGCCTAAACATTTCAAGGCGTGCGATTACCAGCACGCCGCCAAATTTCATATTACCAGGACTGCTTTATTAATTTTTCACACTGGAGTCTAACTATATTCTTTGATTTGTGTTTTACCAAATTTTAGAATGTCACACCGTCAAAAGAGGTGTTATTCAAGTTGAGAGAGATCACTGGAAAGTCCCCAGAGCAAATTAAATATGCATATATGGTGAGTTTTGCACTGTTCACTAATATTATTCTGTTATTGTATTATTCTCTCAGACACAATTTCAAGTTTTATTTTAAATATTTGTTTTTCAGAAGAAAATATTGCTTGCTTTAGTTCTATGGTTGTTTGAATAAATTATCTTCTTAAAAGTAATGAGATGTTGAGTGCAGGACTATGAAGTAAAAAAATATGTAATTGTAGAACTACTGGAACAGAAGCTTAAGTTAATCAAATCTGATTGTAACTGATGCTACATGTAAGGAATCACTTTTCTCAGTTAGATGAATAAATACTCACTTGATAACAGGCTATGCTTGGAACATCGTTATTGAATAATCTATACGTTATTTCTGATACACTTTACTTACATACATAGTTATTTTCTCTTATATTGTACTGCATGCAATCTAGTATATTTATGGAACCCAGTGAGATTTTATGTTGATAAAAGGCCATATTTTTCAGGCCTGCAGTGGGGACATGAAAAAGGCAGTTGCACTTTTAACTGGAAATCAGACTGCAGATGCAAATGAGGTATGAAGTTCAAATAGTCTTCAGAACAGAAACAAACGAATTAATTTATAAGAACTTTTTGCTTACTTTGTTACAAGGCAATTCATAAAAGTCAACTAAATTGACTTATTTTGTTATATTTTGTTAACTCTAGTGACAAGAAGTTTACACTCTTTCTGTCTGTAAGAATTCAGATGCAAGGAATATTGTAAATGTATGAAAAATAAAATTTGAAAGTTGGATTTCTGTTACTTTAGCAAAAAAATGAAAAAATTTCAACAAATTCAAGCAGGTGTTTTTAAGGACGGGGCCCTATTAGGGGCTAGTGGGGATTGAACCAGAGGGATCATGAAGTACTGACAAGTATGGCAGTAGATCCTTTTTATGCCTTTCTCCTAACATCTGTGGATCTATGGGCTTACACTGAATGGAAGGCCTCTTTTTTAAACCTATAAACTCAGAAAGTATTTAGGTATTTACACCTTAGTCTTCAAAATAATCAACAACAACAATTAATCTTTTTAAATGGCAAGAAGGGCTAGCAAAATAAGCAAGTTGTTTGTTTGAAAAGCCTTAATTGTTCACTTTCCTGGACAAAATAGTGATTTTGGAGTTATTTTCAGTTATATGAAAATCTAGCCGTTTCTGCCACCATCACTTTTCTCTTATAGGGCACATCTCAACTTGATGAAGCTCAGGGTGAGTAGAACAAGCTTCTTAAGAGACTTGATTGCCCTGCGCTCTTTGTCAGTAGGAATGTAATGAGATTATGCATCTAGCTTTTTTTATTGCTTTCTTGCATTTAAATGGTACAGACAAGTATCCATATTATTCTTCAACAGGCTTGCTGTGTTAAATAACATGTTTGAATCAGCAAAGTGTCTTGTCTTTAAATATGCATAGTGTTATTTATCAATATTTGACATGGACAGTTTAGTATTAAGCAGGCAGGGTTTGTGTTTCTGATTGCGAGCTTTTTTGTAATTCATTGTGTTATTGTTATACTAGTGCTCCATGTTTCATGTCTAAACAACTAACTATTAGGCATACACTTTTAAAGTACTTATATCATTTATACCAATTCAGGCTTTCATTTCAGGGGCTCTGACCCACAATTTCCCGACAAGATAACATCTTGCATGGGCTTTCGGCGCGTTAAAAATTTGTCAATTATCCATCTAAAGCCCTAATTTTACAACGAGAATGCTGATTAAGTGGCCTAAGTTATTGATTTCACCCAAGTTATGAAGTATAGGAACACTAAACTTCATGAAGGCTTGAACACCTCCAAATTTTTCATTTGATGATGTCAAGAGATATTGCTTATGTCTCAGGCCGATGAACTGAATCTTTTGAAAATTCTTTAAATGTATCTTTTTTGGCTAATAATTGAATAAATTTTTTTGCCATTTTCCTTTTAAGATTTGTTGGCTGCCAAGGAAACAAGTCAGAGTTAGTATGCAATGAATCGTCTTTTTAAATTGAGACCAAATGCAAGTAGTATAATAAATGCTGTCAAGTATTTTGTTGATCAATGATCGTACCTAGCAGCAAAGGAAAATCGTGTTGAAAGTTATCACAAAAATATAAAAAACTTCATAAAAAGTCAACAATTACAATGTTCTTCCAAAAGCTGTTCTTGCAAAAATCAGATGCAGTTTACCATTTCGAAATAATCCAAACACCTTGTTTTTCTGCTCAAAACCGTCAAATCTTGTCAAATTTTCCTTGAAGTTTTTCAACCGTTGACCATGATGTGTGTTATTATTTTGACTTTTTGATTTCCAACAAGTATAGGTGCCAATGCACTCTTGTTTTAGAGGAGGTAATTGAAATAAGTGATGACAAGGACGATGATCTTGCCAAAGCAATTGAGCTGAGTCTTAGAGAGGCCCATGTAAGTTTGCAGTTGTTAATTGATTTTTGTGTTGATGATATTTAGCTTTGTTACAGAACTTTAAGGCACTAGGTGAAGCTATGCTACACCTAGGAGCTATGTCCCTTCATTTCAATGTTACCATATCTCGTGAAATTATAGAGAGTATTTAGAATTAAAAAACCTTGGCATATCTAAAGAAAAGGTTTTATTAAACCAGCCCTGTTGTATGGGTTTGTTTTATGGTGAACCAGACATTCATTTAATATGGAAAGAGTGTTTAGAAGAATTTTTGCTAACTGGGCTTATTGATTTAAGGAGACAAAGGGGGAGACATACCGCACGACCTGAAGAGGTGGATTGCAGAAGAATATATAGCAATGCACTCTACTTTAAATGAACGTTGTTTATAAGAATTTTCAGGCCCAGAATTATCCAATTGTTGAGAATATTGCGCAGCCTCAGTAAAGAATATTCATTAATTGTCTGTTTTGCGATGTTCAAAATAGAGAATCGCATGACTGATGTTTTTCGTTTTTTTTCAAAAAGCGTGGTTTTTATTCGAGGATTGCTATTTCGTTTGAAAACCATTGCATTGCATTCGAGTATGCATGAAACAGTGTATTGAATGAAAATCGAGCCAACCATATTTTCACACTATGTCCCTCTGAAACCATCTCAGATTTGATAATATATTCAGGCTCAAAACAAAAATCTCTTAATAACATTGAGGCTGTAACAGGACTGGATTTTGTTGGAACTGCAAATAATTTAAACTATCGCAAATTGGTTTCTTTAGAAGATTTGCATGAACTTCATCAGTTATAGGACTTTAAGCATTTATTTTTTGAACGTCATTTTGTAGTTCTCTGCCCACATAAAATTTTGTTTTTGCTTTTTCTTCTATAAATTATCTCTATTTAAAAATCGCGCTGAAAAAAGAGTACCGAGCATGCCAGAGGCTTATTTGTTATGTCATATTTGCGAAAGTTGTATTGCTTTTCTGCTTTTAAAAGGGAGGATTTGGTCTAGCTGTTTCAGAGGAAGACAAGGAAATTAGCAAGTATGCCTTAACTTAATGTATCGATGAAGCAAAAATTCTTTAGATTTGTTGTTTATTTGATCTGGCAAAGGTCATACATATCTAGCCACATTTTGTAGAAATGTCATTTCTCTTCCTTTTGGAGATCGTTTTATTAAAAGTGTTGGTTTTGCCTGTAGTCTACAACAAAAGTTTGTCTATAGTTTGGCCATCACTCGTATTTGTATCATGTAAATTATTTAATTTTGTTTAAGGGCGTTAGAAGCGAGTCTTGTGGACAACCGATCTGGTAACAAAAGAAAACGTGGTAACATTTGGATGTCGTTTATCGACCCTGAAAACCCTCATGAAAGGAAGCGAAAAGAAGGCGTCCCCGTTGGTTTGAAAAACATTGGCAACACTTGTTGGTTTAGTGCCGTGATTCAGGTTTGTATTTTCCTGTAGCTGTACCAATTTTGTTAAAAAAACTTAACGATGATGCTCATTTTATACATTTACAAGTTCCTGTGATTTATTTGCATTTTTCCTTTTGCAATTCATGTTAGACGCGATTTATAATACCTGCTAAAAGGAGACAATAACTTCCTAGCTTGTATAATTTTTATAATGGTAATTTTCTTAATCGTTCGTTGTTGACCAGCCCTTAATATTTTCATAAAGTTTTGTATTTGAAGAATGTTGAAAGAATGTCGGACCAGAGGTTGATATTTAACATTTAACGCTTTCTTGTTGATTAAAAAGCATGGCACTGTGATTTTTTTCAATTGATCTTTTTATCAATTCTAATTTTATGACCCAAAAAATTCTATCAATTTTAGTCCTTGTTTCATATCCCCAAATTTCGAAATCTGGTACTGAACTGTGGACTGTCGCAAGATCTCGATACCATAAAGGTAGAAATAAACTCTTTGATCTTATTGTTGTTTGGTACTTATTGTTATTGCTAAAGCGTTTTTATATGATCATAAGCTTACATACTGTCCAATTTTGATAGTGAATTCTTATTGTCAATTGTGGGAACATCCTGTCAAAAGTTTGTGGAAGGACTGTGTTTCTTTTTAAACTTATTCCTTAAAGTCTAGCTGTTGCAAAAGTTTTGTATACGTTAGGCAAATACTATTATTTCTTTGATGTGCCTCTACTAATTCTTTACAGGACCAGCCCAAGCTCGCCTTTTTAGCAGAGCTGCAGAAGTTGTTCATCTTACTGCTTTGCAGCAAAAGAAAATATGTCGACCCAGCAAGACCCATTGAGGTACCAGCGCATAGTCTTCTTGTAGTTAGATCATTGCCCTGGTTCGTGTAATGCATGAATTACATGGCTATGGCATAGGCCTCATTTATTTATATCACTACACAGGCTTCTTTTCTTGCTCTGCATTGGCTTCCTCTGTTGCTCTGCATTAGCTTCATCTCTTGCACAACATAGGCTTCTTCTCTTGCACTGCATAGGTTTCTATTCTGTAGGAACAGTGCTGCCTAGGCTGTCTTTAGTATAATAATTGCATTTATAATTTATTGCAATTGCTACACATGCTTATTTTTGATATGGTAACTGTGTGTGCTCCTTTTCGGAATGACCATTTTTGTGACCAAGTTTAGTATTGTCTCTGCTTCTTTTGACGCGATCTCGCAAATGGCTATTGCATAGGTTTTTACAATCTCTTTGTTGTTATTATACAAGCTCAACATTGCTTTTGCATGATTTTATTTTAACATGGTAGGTTCGTGTATGGGTTTTATTGTACAGGACATCGAAGGAAAGACACATTCTTTCTATATTATTTAATCTATATTATTTTCTTATACTAAACAAAAAATAGCGTGCTGTCAGATGCTTCAAGTTAATTATAAAAATACATTATCATCATGTATTTTAATTCCTGCAGAAGGAAATTTTAATTGGCTTATTTAATGACACGGCGCTTCTCACTCATTCTGGTAAAAATTTTTATTTTAGATTCTAGAAGATGCAGTGCGGAAAACTGGGAAGGAGAATGCTGGTGATCAACAGGTTTCTTGTTTACTATGATCGAGTCTTTGAGGGGGGATTGACTTAGCGATTGTGACAATCCTAACTGCACACAGTGAATGATTTTAGATGCTTCTTCGCGATGCTCTTGAGACAACCGCATTTTTCTTGTTTCTCATGCAGCAGCATCTTGAACAGTTTTTTAGGATTTCAGCCCGGCAGAGAAATATTGCAATGTAAATTTTTAAGGAAACTGTAAAAGAAATTAAATTTGAACTTTCAATGGTATATTAGTGGTTTTTATTGAAACAGTCACTGAAATTCTTTCAAATAGATCATTTCCGAGATATTTGTTTTTTTCTTTTATGATAATTTCTCTTTTAAATCAGGATGTCAGTGAATTCACCCATGTTTTGTTGGACTGGTTAGAAGACGCATTTCAATCTCATTTTGAAAGGTTTGTATCCCTTTATCCTACTTTACAATTTCGGCATCAAATACTGTTTTAGTTTAACAATAATGAAACTAACAAGAACGCTGATTTTATACCAGTATATCTAACATTTTAAAGTGTTCATTTTGATGTAGAAAACTCCTTGTCAGTAAGTCGAGTTTCCCAGGGTTGTTTCCTGGGCCCTTTTTTATTGATTTATTGCATTAGCTGTTTTGTGATTATATTATCTGCCGTACCTTAACAACCATACCAAATGTCTCTTCTTTTGTTCTTACTTTTAAACAAATCGAGTCAATAATTTTATAACTAGCATGAAATATTTACCGTTTTCTTTCAAGCGTAAGTAGTTTTTATCAATCTAACACTTCATTGACATTTCGTTTCAGCTCCGGAGGTAGAAATCCGATTGCAGAGTTGTTTTATGGTCGTTATTCTGTAAATGGGTGCTATGATGGTAATGTTTTTCTTTGTCTTATGTTTTCGACAACTGTTTGTAGTTACTTTTGCTCCTAGAGACTAGGAATATCCACATAAAATTTGAAAGGTAGTGTGTAAGAATGGACATTTTCCAGGGCATCTGACGATGGGAAGGAATACGGTTGAGCCAGACCATCCACTTTTTGTATAACAGAAGATCTTTTTGCAGAATCTTTTGTTGCCAGCCCTTAGTGTGCCTTTGCCCCCTTTTTAAACTCGCGTAGGAGCCCCTGTATTTGTATGGTTAAAATTATGACACTCAGATACTCAGATTCCAAATAGAAAACATTGATAATTGCAGATGCTATTTGTTTATGTGGATGGTGCTTCTTTGGCTTAGGACTAATATTTCCAGAAATGATTCTGTGAAAAGGAAAACTTTCCCTTGCATAATCGGTTGAATTATGAATAAGAATTGCTCAATCTTAATCTCATCTTGTAACTGCAACTCACTTATGTGCATTCTTTAGTTAAATATAGCACCACAATGTGATCTCAAGTTTCTTCCCTTTTTATTTATATTCTTTCCTCATACTTTATAAAATCGATTGCTAGTCGTTTAGGAACACACTTTGAAACAGTTTAGAAAATTTTAGATAAAACGAGAAAGCTGCATAAGAGACGTGTCATAAAACTTTAGATTAAGAGTAGTTGGTCTAAAAAACGTTCAAATTTCACCAACCTTAATATTGCCATTTCTTATTCTGTGGTACTGATTTTAGGAAAAGAGGTGAAAAGCGAAGAGACATTCGGTGCCCTACCGATTCACGTGAGAGGCCATGCCCATATTTACGATGGTCTTGATGCTGCCATGGATAATAACGAAATCAAAACGAATGATGATAACTCCGCTGGAAGTTCTTCACAAGAGGTACTGGCATTAACTTATACCTACCCTGGTTTGTTCCCAGTACTCGAAGTGTAAACATCTATTTCATGATTTGAGAACCTCTTTTCAAGCATGGCTGACAATTTGAACTTTCAGCTTATAAAGGAATTTTTTCTAAAGGAAATCTTCAAGCTTGCACGTGAATGATCAAGAGTTTCAGAATGACATGAGTAAGCCACAAACAGACGCGCCAGCTCCCCCTTCTCCAGTTGTACTAGGACTCAATTGCTTATCACGTGCCCAGGGTTTTAGTGGATGCATGTAAGGGCTTGCTAATTAAGACTGTAAAGGGGATTTGAGTTGAGTAGAGCTCGAGCGTAAAAGAAGCTGAGGTGTTATTAAATTATCAATGAACACCCTTCTTTACGGAAATCTACTAAGGTTTAACGTGGATGAGTGACGTAACCAGGTCACGATCAAGCCTGTTTTCGAGTCCTGGAAGTGTCAATCACTTGCTTTTCTCTCGCTATATGTTATGAAATGTTAACTTTGGTAGCCGAAGTTTTTCTTAGGCCGAAGCCTTATTAAGACTGCTTTGCCACGCAGGCTCTCAATTGTCAATACTGACAAAGTATTTTTCTTATTCCTTTGGGCTGTTTATACGAAGCATTGAATCTTGATGTCCCTTTGATGGTGGAAAATGCAACAAGCATTGCATATTGTGCCTCGAAACTCAAAACACAGCTTGCTCTATTATCCGTTTCTGAATTGTGAAAGGACAGTCTACAGTGTCTAAACCACAGGGCTTGATTGATTTGCTTATGATTTTGCAAAGGATGATTCAAACTAGCATAATGAAAAGCGAAGATTACTTTAATTCTCCGTATTCAAAACGATCTATTTGCTTTGAACGTCCAAGCGTTTTCAAGTATTTGTTAAAGTCTTCGGATCCAAGTATCATGCTTTATTTCCTAATCTGTTGAATTGCTCTGCAAACAACTTCAATCTATCAATGATGTCTTTGTTTCGGAGAGAATTTAAAAGCCCAGTTACCGCGAGTAGCAAAACCTTCTAAACCATTCTCTTGCATAGGAAAACTTTTTATCGTAATTTTTTCTCTCCATTTAATCTTTACTGAGTTAACCTTAACACAAAGTATCCCCGTCCGCACGAAAGCATCGTTTTAATTGGTCATTTCGTCTCCAATTGAATTTATATTGGAATACCACTGAGATGATGTTCGCAGACAGGGTTTAGTAGGGCAAATACATGCGAGAACTGAGAAATTTAAAACCAGTTTTTATCCTAATTGTTTGCGGGAATGGGAAAACTCGACCCAGAGATCAAACAATCCTGCTCAGTAAGTGCTTTCAAAAAACAACTATTAGCAATTATCCATCCACCTCAAAAACTAGTCTACAACATCCACGACCAGAAAGGTTTATCAATTTTAACACAACTTCGTGTTGGACTTAGCAAGATGAATTTTCACATATTCAAACATAACTTCAGTGATACCTTGAATACTTTATGCCCAGTAAATGATGGTATTGAGGATACGGAACACTTTGCTGCTCTGCCATGCTTATGATACAGATAGGCGTGATCTTCTCGACAATGTGAAGGTGATCTTACAACCCCATGGATTAACAAACCTTACAAATGCATTTTACTGCATATAATTCTCTATTCTCTACGAAAAATTATCTTTGAATTCGAATAGAAAAATTCTCGAGGCAACATGTATTCAGACTTCTGAAAGGTTCGAATAAGTAGTTTTAGAAATCTTCTCTTCGATGTAATTTGTCTTTCATTATTTTCGTTTTGTTTTTTCAATGTAATTTTTTTGTGTAACTTGATAATTGTGAGTGTTGTTTTTTATGAGTAATCTGTAACATGTAATTTGTAACATTTAATGTAAATCCAATTTGAAGTAAATATGTTTAATTTAATGGTCACAGGGTTGCCATGCTCCTTGAGGCATCTTCTTGTTGTTAGTTTGTTTTGTAAAGTTTTCATGAGAATATATATAAAAATGATGATGTTCAAAGCTTAAAGATTTATTTCGATTTTGTCAACAGCATTGGTTCACCCACCTTCCTCCTGTACTTACGTTCGAATTATCAAGATTCATTTTTAACCAGCAACTTGCGAGAGCCGAGAAAATTCACGACCCATTTAGAATTGAGCAGACAATCCATTTAGCAAGGTATTCGTTATTTTGATTAATCGTTGTTAATTTTTCGTAGATTTATCCTTTAGAAATGGTTTTATCTTCTGTATTTGCAACATATTGTCACAACTTTGCTTACGACTGTACAACATGAAATGCTTGCCAAAAGTACTTGAAATACCCAAGCCCCCTTCACAACACCCCCCCTCTGCCTACAAAGAAAATGTTGGAAATACACGAGACTGCTAATAGGACAGAAAATGATGCTGTTGGTTTTCCAAGACTTTTTGCAGGCATTACAGATCATTCATAGAAATGTTCAGTGATAAATAACTTTTTAAACGTAGGTATATGGAGCAAAATAAAGCTTTAACTAGAGAAAAAAGACGGCTTGTTGACAGAGCTAAAAGGAAAAGGAAGGAACTCCTAACAAAACTAGAGGGGTGAGATGAATTTTTTTCATTTTTTCCTGCGATGACAATTACCACATCTTTTTATCTATATTTTTTCATTGTTTGTTCAATCGTCTTTCTGTTGATTTGACTCTTACGTATCACGACTTTTGTTTAGATTTTAACACAAAAAGGTATTATTTTCATGACATCTCTCTTACCAAAAATCACAGACTGTTTCGTTTCATTAAAGAAACTTGGAATATTGCCTACAGAGCTTTTGGTTTAAATCTTTTGTGAAAATAATTTGCTGACGGACTTTTGTTAAATATTTCTTTGCAATGCGCCTTTTAATTTGTCTTTTAAAATAGTAAAATTTGTCCTCAATCATTTTTTGAGGAACTTGATGATAAAAACTTTGTTATCATCGAAAATGTTTGTTACCCAGTTTTTCTTGAAAAATGCCTACCTTATCAGTACCTTATCTTTCACATGAATTGCTCTCAACATCTTGTTATTTTTATATTGTAGATACATGTCATTTGGCTCTGGGCCTAAGAAGAGCCCAATAATATCCACATTGGATTCAACCCTCGAGTTTGTTCGAATGGGACTAAACAAAGAGGAGGAGGAAACCCCTATGACAATATCACCCAGCTCTTCGCCAAGCTCCAGCACGATGCAGGAATCCATTGAATCCTCGTCAATCCTTGCGACTGCGGAGAGCATTGAAGGCCCATCACCAAAAAACATGACTGCGGTGGAGGGCAATACGTTGATCGATTGTCTACAGCGGTTAAAGGAAGAAGTTCAACAAGAAACGGAAGGTCTGTACCTTGATTGAATGTATAAATGCAATATAAATGCAAATGGCAGAATTCAAAGGAGTATAGATTTTGGTATTGCCAGTGAAATGTTGCTGCTCGTTTTGTTTGCCAAAATACTATGGGGAAGAGTGTTTGTTTTTGCATAACTTTGTAAATCGTTCCCAAATGAAGTTTTCTTCAAACAGTCCCTGATCTTATCTTTCTTGTGATTGCTCTTTTGAAGCCGCCCAATATATTATTTCTCAGCTTTAAAATCTGTCCTCAGGACCCGAGGACAATGTTTGTCTACCTTCGTAGTAAACTGTACATTTGCCAGTATCGAAGCAATTTGTAGGTGCACGTGAGTTCTCTAAAAGAATTATGTCAAGCAACACACATTGGTATACGTGTTCAGTTCAATGTTCTTTTTTCACAGCACTCAAAGATGCAATTGAATATATCGATCGTGAACTGCACCATGCATATGATGAAGACATCTTGCAGCAGGTTTGGCTTGCGATTGATCATTTTATATGAAATCAAGTTTAAATTAAGTTAGGGTTAAAGTAGAGATAAACATTGTTTATATCGTGCTATCATTGCTATCATTTTAAATGCATTTCACGATTAATATGCCCTTAAGATATTTCTCAAGATTTTTATACGGGAAATTATGATACTTGCATTTAACCGAATATCTGCGAAGCCTTTCCAACCTCCAGCTTTACAGTTTTTCTTTACCCAGACATTCAAGCAGCATCTTATTTTTTGCTAAAAGAACAGTCCTATTTACACATGGCAATTGCTCCTGCCAACTACTCTTGCAGAGATTTTCCAGCTAAAATTTTCAGTTTAGTAATGACGTCACACTAACAACAGGTGCCGTACAGACTGCATGCCATCCTGGTACACGAGGGGCAAGCCAACGGTGGGCACTACTGGTCGTACATATTCGATGCGCAAAAGAAAATATGGCGCAAATTTAACGATGTGACTGTCTCAGAGACAACTTGGGATGAGGTACAAAGGGAGTCAGTTGGGGGATACAGAAATGCTACCGCCTATTGTTTGGTGTATGTTGACGCCCAACGAAGTGATTTGTTTCAAGTGGATCCTGTGGAGGCGGGGGCGTCACTAGGCTTTTCAAATATGCAGAGATTCGCTGCATCGGATAATGAAAATTTTTGCAGAGAGATTGAGGAATGGGATGCGAAACAAAGGAAAGTAGAGATAGCAAAAGAAAAGGGTACGTTTAATAAGAGCATTTTTCGTAATGGATCCATCCATAGTTATTTATAAACTTTACACTGTTTTACAATGTAGACCATAGTGGTTTTGACACAATCGTTCTCAGAATTCTTTTCCTTTTGATTATGCTGTGTATTTTTTGTAGAATTTGAAAAAATATCCAGGTAAAATGCTACGTTTAATCTAGCAAGTTATTTGCAAATAGTAGAACGGTGCTAATTAGCAATGAGTCAAGACAGTGTAGCACAACGAGCCAAATATGGAGTAATAGTATGACACTTAAAAGTCATTTGCCACAGCGTTTCCTTGCAACCTTTCTACGGGCTTTTTCTATTTTTGTGATGGGTGTGGATTTGTGCAGTTTTGTAGCATTGTAAGTTTATGTTAAACTAAGCTAGTACAGTATCGTAGTATCAAAAATCCCAGTGTGTGTCAAGATTTCTGTCCTCAGTACAAAACTTAATGTTATTTTGCCCCAGGCTGTACCTCTTTGAAATTGTCAGGTATTAGGTCAGGTGCAAGGAGTTTTTGTATAGTAAATTGATAAAATTCTTATATATTATAATTATATTGTTTTTATTTTAGTTCAGAATAACGATAAAGAAAACATTCCAATGGCAGTTGATTCAGCAAAGGTTTCACCAAAAATGTCCTCGTCTAGCGATGTGTCTTTGGAGGAGCAGCTGGATGCCTTCTATTCTGACCATCGTCAAAGAATGTCAAACTACATTGCACAAAGGAAGACGTATGATCCAGATGGACGTTTGGAAAACTTTGATTTGTATTTCTTTAATTCAGAAGCACCTCGTAGCGTATTAGACCAAGGATTCTTGGAATGGTTCACGGAACATTTCAGCAACAAGGAACCAAAGTAATTATTAAGACTAGCATTCGTTTAATCACTGATTCCTACGTCGATTAACCTACCCTGCAGGGGATGACATTTTGAAATCATCGTCTATTGGCTATTGAATAATTTTTGTTCTATCATGTGTGTACAGTTAAGGCCTTGTAGTGAATCTGATTGGTTAAAATAAACTTGGCGAAATCAAAGGCAAATGGAATCAATGGAACAAATGGAACAGTAAGAATCCGAGTCACGTGTCAAAAACGAAATCTTTCAGTAGCTTTCAGTCCGTGTTTTAGACTCCCCATGAACTAAACAGTAGAAGGGTTTTCAATTTGCCGTACCCTTGAAATCAACTGTTGTGCCTATAAATTTTATCTTGAAAAATAGTCTTTACGGGCAAATCAATAAATGTCATAATGAAGCATTTTTATGAAATTATTTGTTGTTTATAAGTAAATTCGTTTGCTTCATTCGTTTTTTTCCAATACGCCCTTGATATCTCATTTCAGAAGTTTGTTATTACAAAAGCATGCAAAACGGAAACTGAAAAAGATTCTAGAAAGTGCTGGGGATAACGAAGAACATAAGGTTCGTAATTAATTTTAAAGAATTGTTGCTTTATCAGGTTCAGTAGTCGGTTTTTGCATGTTTATGCGAGCTGGACAATAAACTTTGATTCAGAAAATTTTTAAGTCGCAGCAAAAAAATAAATAAATGCAATTTGTTTTCATAATAGTTCTAGCTTGCCGTGTGTCAGTGTCAATGTTTATAACATTATTTGCCTTTATATTTTCACATTTGTGCTGTTTGAGTTTGTTTATTATTTAAAAATTTCATACTGTGCTGTGTTGTATATAATTTTTGATTTATTAATGTCACTTAATACTAGAAGATATTTTTTGCAAGCAGCGTACCAAAGTTATAACACAGTCTTTCATTCTACAATTTAGAAATGGACAAAGTACTACAAAATGTTCTTAAAATGCAATGCCTGTTTTGTAACTGGAGTCGAAGAATATTACAATAAAAGGTAAATTTTATAACTTTCTATTAATTCTTTGCATGATGCATTTTCAGTAGAATTCGATTATTATTCTCCATTGAAAATAATTCAATATTTTATTGCAAGTTATCAAACCTAGATTTGCTTGATTTTTATACTTCAGGTACTTTGCTTAATTATTAATATAGTTTGTCAGGTGAAAAATTGAAGAAAGCCTATTTTTAGGGTTTCTTTTTCAGATTTTGGCAGCCATTTATTGTTATTCTGAAGATCATTTCTTTTCGTCGCTTTCAGAGCTATCGAGGCCTAAAAAATTTTAAGAGCAATGAACTGTTTTACACAAACAGTTGTTGCTTATAGGATACTCGACGAATAATTGCAAGTACTAGATTGAACAGCCTGTTGGATATAATTTTAAGGCATTTTTAATATTCAATATTTCTAGAATTTTTACATTTGGACCAAATAGCCCGAAAAAGCATTATAAAACACCTCTAAATAATCACAAACATAACTGTGTGGCAAATTGACTGTGATATGGTTACATAAGCAACGGCTCTTACCCAATCAAATCTCTGTAATTTGGTCTTGGTTAAAAAAGCTAAGAACCAGGCCAAAGAATAATGGTGTGTTAGCAAAAGACAGTTCACTAGCTATGTTTTTTGTCAGTTTGCAATATATTTAACAGATTTTGCAGTGTAAAGGTTTTTTCAGACTATCTCGTCAAAAGTAAAAGTTTTGAAAATATATAATTGATAATGGCACAAATTAGCTGAAACATAACAGTATTTTGTGTCCGACACTCTTCGGCATGTGTATATTAGTAAGTAACAAATATAAATATATGTTTCTGGTGACGCCATGCTTTGTCACTCTAAATAAGAAAAATTGTATACATTTTTAATGGGTCTCCTTTTGTATACATTTTTAGTGATTTTTGAACTTAATTGATTTTTACACACTCTAAGCAAAATATCTCAATTTAAGTTATCCTGGTATAACTTGGAATCCAGTAAAACAACTTGCTCTTTGCTATTTTAGATTCAGAGGGGCTCTTCCGTGCTTTATTCATGCGATAGAAATCAACAAGAGGTTGATGAATGCTGAAGGCACTCCGGGACACGTCGATAGCGCCTTATTGTCATATTTTAGAAGGAGCTGTTTACAAGTATGTTTTCCACATCTTATCTGATGTACGCTGTTTTGCTTTTCTTTTTAATGCAGCCGGACTGTGATTGTGCCTTTTTAGTGAGTGACATCCTATTGGGGGGGGGGGTATTTTAAAGAGGACTGGGGTAGAATTTCGTAATAAAACTTTTCACTTGTTTGTTGGATTTTTGTTCGTATATACAAGACGTCTGAATATGAAATCAGTGTGGATAGATGCGAATGCCTTGTATTCAACAGGCACTTAAAGCATATTTATTAATCACAATTTCAAATTTAACAAGACTTGACACCTTTCTAACCACATTAAGGCCTTTTTTCATGACTTCTTGTTAAACCTTCTATGACGCTGATCTGTTGACAATGTCGATTTAATATCCAAAAATAAAGTCGCAAAGCTTTTTCTGACCCGAGATTAAAGTCCCTCAAGAGGCAACAGTTTTAACTTCAAAATCGTAAAAGTTTTAACCGAAGCCGCTTGACAACTACAAAAACAACATTGTATGGTAAATAGTTCTCTTGAATACAAGTTAAGAAAGATTTGATGTGCATCTTCATGTATAACTCAAGCAATTCATTGCAATTCGACTCAAAAAAAGCTCTCTTGTTTTGTAGCACGTCAATGAGGAAGCCTCGACCAGCTTCCAGAGTGACAGCGAGCAAGATGTTGAAGAAGGTTGTGCTTTGATGAGGGAACTTGTCATTCCCAGCTTGGCCAGCTTTACTGAAACAGACGATCCAGACGATTTGCTGATTGGGGAAAGTTTAAGGGGTCGTTGGTGTGCATTTGTTGGCTCCCCAGAAATTCAAGGTTATTTATTTTGATTATATATATTACATAACTTATCTCATCAAATTATATTATATTATATTATATTATATTATATTATATTATATTATATTATATTATATTATATTATATTATTTTATACTATATTATATTAAAGCCATGTTGTGTTATGTTGTGTCATGTTGTGTTATGTTGTGTTATGTTATGTTATCTTATGTTATCTTATGTTATCTTATGTTATCTTATGTTATCTTATGTTATCTTATGTTAATTTTTGTTATGTTATGTTATGTTATGTTATGTTATGTTATGTTATGTTATGTTATGTTATGTTATGTTATGTTATGTTATGTTATGTTATGTTATGTTATGTTATGTTATTATATCATATGGTGTCGTTTCTATCATATTATATTAAGTCAGAGCATCATCCTTTCCCAGGTCAGAAAAATGAAATGCTGGAAGAGATAATAATGGGTTTGGTGGACAGTTGCACAAAAATGACAGTTAGAGAGCCAACCATAAAAGGACCCATTAACGGGACACACCTTTCCAAGAGATATTCTGATGTCATGGAGCTCCTTAAAAGTGATGAGTTACTCCCACTGCAGTGAAAGAGGTACGTTTAAGATTTACTAGGAGAGAACCTGCTTTTCAGCCTACACATGAAAGTGCTTGTCGGCAGTTATGCTTGTTGTAACCTGCCTGTATCTAAGGTTTAGACTAGAAAATCGCGCCATTTGCGAAAAGAACAGAACAGAACTGAACTATAATCATATGTGATTACAACAACAACAGCAGCAGCTTAGAAGGGGGTCTTACTTGTGACTAACGTGAATACTACAATGCTTGTCATAGAATATAAAGGACTTTAAGGTTAAGGAAACTCAGAAAAAGACAACGTCCCATTATCATTTGGCGGTACCAAAACTTCTTTTTTTCAATAGTTTTTGTTTTTTTTATTTCTAAGCGAATGAAAAACGTGTAAGGGATCAGATTGCATGTTTCTATAAGATAGTAATTTATGCTTTATATCACTATGAATTATTCATTTAAACTTTATCCTTTTCACATTTCACATGTAAACTGTCATCCAGTGGCGGACACTTGCGGGGGCGAGGGGGGACGACCGCCCCCCAATACTTTGGAGGACAATGGTCTTTTGTTCTAAAACAATGGGAAATGTGACGTCATCTTATTAAAACAATAGGCTTGCCCCCCAATATTTGATCAAGTGTCCGCCCCTGCTGTCATCGCACATTTCTCAGTAGATTTCAATTGTCCAAGGTCTTTTCCATTTTGTCTCTGCTCTTCTTGTTAACTAAAGTGATGCATTTTTTCACAGGAACCGATGTTAATGGCTCGAGAATGTTCCTGGCATGCTCTACCTTTTAAGATTACCGTCACCCGCCTGCTGTTTGTGACTAGGGATCTGAACATTTAAACGTAAGCATGTTTTGATCTTTTGCTCAAATGTCTCCATCAAATGGTTTAGAGTAACAGTCTTCAAGCACCACTTGTTATGTCCTAAAAGTCTTTAAAGTTTAAGTAAGAATTTCAACGCTCGTGTACAGATAAAATTGTAACTATATAACTTAGTAAATTACTGATGATTTAAAAGTGAAAAGTTTATGAGAGGAAAAGCTCTAATGTAGAAGACACAAGGAATTTGGTTTTTAAGACACCTATCTTGCTTAATTATGGCGTGTTCTTTATCCCCCTTCACTAAGAATATTCTTGTCAAAATCAAGTGACTGAAATGTTAAAACAGCACAAACTTTGTGCTATCCAGTGAAGAGGTTTCAACAAGAAAACACTGAATAATTTTTCTAGTATCCTCAGTATTCTCTTTGTTGTAAATGGTATACAGAAAATATTTATATTTTTTATAATTATGTTACTGTTTGTACTGTGGTAAATGATGAATAACAAAAGTAAGTGGATTGTCATGTACGTCTCCAAAGAAGTTTTTGCAGCAAAACTGCCTACAAAACCTGTCGACAAAGACTCAGGAATAATCTCTCCCGTTTTACTGAGCTTGGCAACAATATTATATCAACTAGATCGCTGGTTTTGCTTATTGCACTTATTGTTATTATTACAAAAGTAATCACAGCCCAAGTGTTTTAGCGTGCTAGCAAATGTTTCCGCGTACTAGCAACAGAAACCAACCTGTAACAATTTTTTGTTAAAGAATGGCGTTTGTGGGATAGCGGACATCTTATTATGAACAAATTCGTAAAGGTTAAGTAAAATGCACCTAACATTAGCTGATATTCCAAAAACCGGCTTCGTCAAAGAGTCTCTGCGGTTCTCCGCCGCTTGCTCATCTCTACGATTATCTGCCACATTATTTTTATGAAAAAGGCAAGGCAATAGGCTATGAAAATGACCACTTTTTTGAAAGGAGTATTTTTATAAAAAAGGCAAGGCTATAGGCTATGAAAATGACCACTTTTTTGAAGGGAGTATTTTTATGAAAAAGGCAAGGCAATAGGCTATGAAAATGACCACTTTTTTGAAAGGAGTATTTTTATGAAAAAGGCAAGGCAATAGGCTATGAAAATGACCACTTTTTTGAAAGGAGTATTTTTATAAAAAAGGCAAGGCTTTAGGCTATGAAAATGACCACTTTTTTGAAGGGAGTATTTTTATGAAAAATGGCAAGGCTATAGGCTATGAAAATGACCACTTTTTTGAGGGGAGTATTTTTATAAAAAAAGGCAAGGCTATAGGCTATGAAAATGACCACTTTTTTGAGGGGAGTATTTTTATGAAAAAGGCAAGACTATAGGCTATGAAAATGACCACTTTTTTGAGGGGAGTATTTTTATAAAGAAGGCAAGGCTATAGGCTATGAAAATGACCACTTTTTTGAAGGGAGTATTTTTATGAAAAAGGCAAGGCAATAGGCTATGAAAATGACCACTTTTTTGAAAGGAGTATTTTTATAAAAAAGGCAAGGCTATAGGCTATCAAAATGACCACTTTTTTGAGGGAAGTATTTTTATGAAAAAGGCAAGGCAATAGGCTGTGAAAATGACCACTTTTTTGAAAGGAGTATTTTTATAAAAAAGGCAAGGCTTTAGGCTATGAAAATGACCACTTTTTTGAAGGGAGTATTTTTATGAAAAAGGCAAGGCAATAGGCTATGAAAATGACCACTTTTTTGAAAGGAGTATTTTTATAAAAAAGGCAAGGCTATAGGCTATGAAAATGACCACTTTTTTTGAAGGGAGTATTTTTATGAAAAAGGCAAGGCTATAGGCTATTAAAATGACCACTTTTTTGAGGGGAGTATTTTTATGAAAAAAGGCAAGGATTTAGGCTATGAAAATGACCACTTTTTTGAAGGGAGTATTTTTATAAAAAAGGCAAGGCTATAGGCTATGAAAATGACCACTTTTTTGAAGGGAGTATTTTTATGAAAAAGGCAAGGCAATAGGATATGAAAATGACCACTTTTTTTGAAGGGAGTATTTTTATGAAAAAGGCAAGGCTATAGGCTATTAAAATGACCACTTTTTTGAGGGGAGTATTTTTATGAAAAAAGGCAAGCATTTAGGCTATGAAAATGACCACTTTTTTGAAGGGAGTATTTTTATAAAAAAGGCAAGGCTATAGGCTATGAAAATGACCACTTTTTTGAAGGGAGTATTTTTATGAAAAAGGCAAGGCAATA